GGGTATGGATCATGTGAGTGGCAATGAGGAAAAGCAGGCATGCTACTACCATTGTTTTATTATTCACATTTTGACAGTGATAAAATAGCATATTCCAGGGCATGGCAGTGACCATACGGGGAAATCTTGGCTTAGGACCCACCAAATGATTTCTAACTACTGCTTAAAACAACTGTGGATAACTGAAGGCTTTTTGTATGCAGGGAAAAAAAGACATTTGACAGTAATGAAAAGTTTCCGACTAGAAAATATGCCAAGAATATTTTCTCCTTTTATATCCTGACACAGGTGAGACTTATCCAGTTTCAGTGCACTTTTGACAATTGAAAACACTTTAGAAAACTGAAGATTTAAACAATGTAAAACACTTGTAGTCACAGCAAAATAATAGTTTCCCTTTCCCATATAAATGTGGCATCTCCAGTTGTTAACATTGTAAATAAGACAGCGGAAATGCAGGAAAATAGTTCCACAACATCCAATTTTTAAATTCATCCAAGCTGCCATCCTTTTTTTCCTGATGCAGATTTATTTCTCACTGCCACTTACACTTAAAATTCTGATTTTGAGTAATGTCCGGGTTTTTAAATGAACCATAATTCGGCATGACTATTCCTTAACACCAGCCCCAGGAGAAAGAGGTAAGAGAAAGGGGCAAAAGGGGACTGGGTATTTGCTGCGTGCAAATGATGAATTGAGCCACTGTTGGAAATGAAAACTCACTTTTTTACTGGCATTTGCTCAGCCTCAGTAGTTCAATGTAACTTGGTGCTAATAAAAACAGACCATCTAAAGCAAATCCTAATGTGCTAGTTAGTTTGATAATGCCTATACAAAGTCAAAAACCTGGACACTCGAGAGTATTTCTATTTTTAACTGTATTTTCTAATTGTCATCTAAATGTTTGGCGTCATAGACAGAGTCCAAGATTTTGTCCTGAAATTAACATATCTGAGGCCCTGGCCAGCTAGCTCCGTTGGTTAAAGGGTCTTCCTAATATGCCAAGGTTGCAGGTTTGACCCCTAGCCAGGGCACATACAGGAACCAACCAATAAATGCATAAATGAGTGAGACAAATTGATGTTTCTCTTTATTTCTTACTCTCTCTAAATGTCAATAAATACATTTTATAAGAGAAAATATTTCTTATAAAAATCTGAAAACTTATCTAAGGATTTTTAAAAATCTCTTTATGGGAATTTAGTTTTGGTGGATTCTGGCACTTCCTGAAATGGCAGGCCTAGAACGATCAAGTTTAAAGCATAGAGTTATAGCTTCATACTGTTTAATGCTGTGCAAATTTTTGAATAGCCCAGTTGTGAAAAAAATTCTCAGAACGATGATACAGAATGGAAATAAAACAACACTAGGCATGTTTGGCAGAGATGTACAAATGATCAGTTTTGAACTTGCAAGTTCTCAAGAGGTTTTCTTTGCTGGGGCTTCTGAACAGAGATCAGCTTATACCCAATTTGAGACCCAAAATGACAGCACACTTCAGGGTTCCTGATACTGCTGTACCGATCAAGGCCAAATGTAGTGGCCCTTATAACAAATATTGGCAGGTAACTGAAGTCAAATTTAGAATTTTGGATTTTATGTTGCAACTATGTCATCTCAGGGGAGGCTAGTTTGGAGTTTGTTTGTCATGCATTGTTTTCTTTGGTTAGACTTAAATTTTTGAGGAATGAACTCAAAGGTAACTAATGTCATGGAAACTGCTGAGAAGGCCAGAACACAGTATGGGAAGGGATTTGGGAATATTGAGAGGATGGTGGGCAGGGGGTTTCAGAATGATCATCGGTGTGCTGTGATATGCTCCTGTTTTCCCCCCTTAGGTTAAAAAGTCTTGCTTTTATTTCTTAAAAATAATGTAGCACACTATGTATCGTAAAGCAATCAACACAAACACAAATGACACCTGTTTAAGCAGACTTCAGAAGACAGCACACACTGTTACACAGAGCTGCATTTCAAGGATACAGTGATGGGAACTGGTACACACAGCAGCAGGGAAAACTTTTTTTTTAACTTCATGAATGTGAGGTCAGATTTCAGCCACTTCCTTGTCTGGCAATGAACAAGCTGAAATGGCTTCAGCTTGAATTTCACATCTCTTTCTAATCTAATGCACAAGAGGGACCAGAGACACCAATTACCAAGGAGTCACGAGAACAGACAGAAAACTGTTAGTAGAGCTTGACAACCAGGAATTACAGTGCTTTAAAAAAATGTGTACTTGATGAAAAGTATGCCAGGGGCATATCTTAGAAAGCAATGCCAGTGTGTTAGAAAGATGGGGGCCCTGCCCAAATGGGATTTCATCTGCATCTTACTCTACACTGTTGAAACAGCGCTGGGTCTTCTTGAAATGCCACCTGAAAGTCTTCAAGCAAAATAACGTGGAACTTAGTGCAAGCCCTCTTCATTGATATAAATTGTGTGCTGTGACAATGGTCTGAATGCAGCTGGCATGGGGAGGACATGGCCATTGGAAGGGACCTCACGGGTCGTCCATTCCTACCGCCCACTGGATGCGGGAATCCGTGCTGTGGTGTCCCTGACTGGCGCCCAGGGAAGACGGTAGCTTGTCAGGCCCTGGTCCAAGATGATGGTTGGGCTGACTCAGTGGGTTTTAACTCGTGATTATCACTTTAGGGCAGCAAGGACCTAGTGAGACTTACTTTGGAAGGAGGACTCAGTTTCTCTCTGTAGAAAAATAAACAGAAAATGGGCTAATTCTAGAGACAAAAGTCCCCTACAGGAGGAACAAAAGCTAATAACTGAAACTAACTAGTCTCAAAGTCTCAAAGCTAAAGAAAATGTTACTAAGATGCCATTAAGATGATAAGAGCAAAACTTTCTCCCTGTCCACCAAAAAAGAAAAAAAAAGTAAAGCAAACCAAAAAGTTGGCATTTGTCACAAGCCACAAAAACAGCCTGAAATATTTTGCATGACCTAAGCACCAGTGTGTTAGGGACAGGGCCTGTCCTGATGGAGGAAATGTATTTTTGAAGATAAAAGCTTAAAGGAATTCTTTAGATATCTTTTAAAGATGTACACAGATTTGTGTGTGTGTGGGGGCACTTATAAATTTGATTTTGCCTTGTATTCAGTGTAAAATACTTGTACAAAAATATAAAAGGCATGGCTTGATGTTTAACGTCTGTGTTTTATTGTTGTTGGCACCAGAAAAAGCTCATGTTCTATGTTATGTCACTGTACATACTGTAAACAAGACTGCATTAATATTGTTCTCTTATGAGTTTTTGTTTCAATGAATCTAGATTTTTAAAAAATACATTCACAAACTACCTTATGTTTAAACACAATGATTCCCTTTTATTTCTTAACTGTACCCCAAATCCCACAATAAAAAATCATTTAAAGCTGTGTGTTTCAAACTTATCACTTAGAAATAAAAACAAAACATAACATAAAAACAAAGATCAGTTTGCAACATAATTTAAAGAAGCTTCTGGTTTAAAATACCACAGCAGCGATACAAAGAGCTGGTGGCAATCACATTTGGGGTGGAGACCCAAATCAATGTATTCTGTCCACATCCGCACCCAATGATAGTAGTTGCTAAATTCAATCCAAAAAGTTATTGCTGATTTTTTCCCATGGAATTTGTGAAGATAGTATTGTTCGGCAGCAGAATCACAGCAGTAAAAATGAGAACGGGAGGATTTCATTGCTTTTGAGAGCTAAAGGGACCATGATGAGGACATCTTAGGGATTAACTGGAGATAATCCTCAATTCCTTTCCTGTGTGTTACCTGCTTAAAATAATGCCAATGACGACCACCTTTACAGGAGGGGCATACTCATCCACTTCGAAAACCAGAGTAATTCCCTTCCCTTCCCTCCTTGCCCAAACCACCAATCGAAATGACTCCATTTCCCTGACGTGTATTTCGTTCTCATTGATAGTACATCAGCTGCTCATGCATTTAGGCAAAATCAGTAGGATCCCAGAATTTTTTTTGATCTGTTTACAGTAGCTGTTTTCTCTAGAAACAAGCCACATTAATTTCTGTTGTTGGATTTTTAACACATTTTTCAAGAAGAACAATTTCGACAACTACTGTGTTGTTTAAAAATATTAACTACACCTGAGATTGCCAGTTGAGCTCTCTATATGTCTCCTGGAGATGACACTGCTGTGATGGACAGTGAAACGAAACAAACGGAACGAGGTAGGTTAAAACAGGAAGCGCAACACAGATACCGCTTTGCAACACCTCGATACCACAGGTGGCCATGCTTGTAGCTTTGGAAAGAAAATCCCAGACAGTCACATAAAAGTTCAAATCATCTGAGTTAAGTTTATAAGGACACGAGTCAACCTGAACTAAATACACACATACCTCTGCACAAATGTTGTTTACCATATGTTGGGTAATTTGGAGGAAGGTAAAATGATTAGGATCTCAGAGTTTTGGCCAAAGCCTTGCTTTCAAGTTCTGTAAAATCTGAACCAGTGAGGCCTACTGTCTCAGGCAGGCATAGTAGTCTAGTTCCTTCTCTCACCAACCCAAGGGAACACAGGCAGCTCAAGTACACTCATCATTATTTTTCTCAGTTGCAGTTTTCATCTTGAGAAAGTGGCACGGTCAGGAGAAAGCTGGGGATGACCAGAGCCTGGATGTCATTCATGGCCCAGTTGGAACTCAACAAAGTCTCATTCCTAGTGAAGCCCAAACCGAGTGACCTCTTACCGGGGAGGCCTTGCACGTTTATAAAAGAATGTGTGTGTGTGTGAGTGTGTGCGTGCGTGTGTGTGTGTGGTCTTCTTAGCTTGTTTCCCAGAAGCTCTCTCTGTGTGACCTTGTCTGCCATCCCATCTTTTGCCCTGACCCATTGCATAACAGCTGAGGGAAAACTGCCTTACAGGACCCTCAGTCGCTGGAGCCAACCCAACTCAATGACACAACTGTCCCATTCAACACACTCCACTCTGTGCAGGGCCGTATAAAAATAGGGCCTGTCAGACTCAAAAATGGCAGTTGATTTTATTAGTCTAAGGCTAGTAGTTTAGCCATTTAAAATCTATTTCCCAAAAGAGGGGAAAACAGTACAGTATTTTTCTTCTCTTAAAAACTCATTAGCTAGTTGCTACCAAAGCAACCTTTTGGGTTGGTGAAGGCAAAAGAGTTCTCAAATCACCCCACTGTGCAGTTATGGCCTTCAGTGTAAGGAGATAAGGTACATTTATTGTGCTGTCTCTCGCCACTTGAAATTGGAAATTTTACAACATATTGTATACTTAAAGCAGGCAGACAATTAAAAATGGACTAATTTTCTCAGTGTGCATTCTCTCCCCATTCTTACAAAGTAAGGGAGTAAAGAAAAAAGGTAAAAAACAAAACAAAACACAGAATCCACCATAACACAGCTTAATCATAAGAGCACACAATATTTGTTTCTATCCCTAACTCCGAAGGGCACATGGTCCATCTCTGTCCACAGGCAATGCAGCATTCTTGGGGATCTCCTGGAAATTCCTGCCACCTTTTTCTCTCCTTCTCAACCAGGCTGCAACATTGAAAGATGGACTGTTTGGGGACAGGTGGAGGGAGAGGAAAAGGGGAAAGTGGTATGTTCAACCAAGCCTTCTGATTCTGCCTCTAGACTGGCATAAGTCCACATGAGTTATGTTCTTTTAAATTAGAAATAACGCCATGAAGATAAGTGCCAAGTGCTCTTCTGTTACCAGTTCATCATGGAATTTCTGTTGAGGGTCATGAAAAACACTTGGCTACTTCCTCCAGATCGCACGGATGCAAAAAATACCTGTTTGAAATTAAAAAGAAGTTAGTTCAACTGCATGGTTTCTTGCCCTCTCTTCTTCAACCGTCCATCCATTTTCTCTCACATGTTCTATCCTGGCCATGCGTCAGCTCTTAATACTCAGTGGCTGGTGTTTATAAAGTGCCTTTTAATACAGCTCATCCTCTGTAAACACTCCTGCCTTTATGTTTGTTATTATCACTTATTGTGGGATTGACCTTTGGGGTCAATCTTGATTTGTAACTTCTCCTTTGGGTGCTCACATTTCACAAGGGAGTTTTGTGCGGGGATAACTTGCTGGATTGGGACACAAGAGGGCCCTTGTGCATTTTTGGAAAGCTGCAGAGGCTCCCCACCGCTCCCCTATAAAGACGAGAGGGCAGGCAGCCTTTGGGACTAAAGAGAATCCTTTTGGATTCCCAAAGTCAGGGGGGAAATTTGGGGCAAATGGACTTGACTTTGTAATTGTTTTAATTAAAAAAAGAGTTAAATGGTTGTGGTCAGAGAGGATAAGGTGCTCAGTGCCTATTCACTTCGGCATTTCAGGAATTAATGCTCGGCCTCTCTGCTGATGCAGACATATCCTCGGCCAACAGAGATAATGGCATTAGTAAGCAGAACCACAGTCCATTAGGTCCGGGCCTGTTAAATCATTTTATCCAGCAATGAGAGAAAGTGAGCAACGTTCGGGTTACTGCTTGCCTGAGCTGAATGTCAATGGACCACTGCCCTAGGAAAATAATCTTCTGGGCGGTGGTCTAGCCCTTTATTTAGCCAACACCAAACTTTGGTCCAAGGCAATTACTTTTGTCACTAGTATAGAGTCTCTGCTACTTCACTTCCACAGCCTCTTCAGAAGAATGCTGCAGAAATGCTTGTCATTCAGTTAATGCTACATAGGTTAGCAAAGCTACTGTTAGGGTCAGTGATTCAGAGTGGGTGAGCACAGGGGACCCATGGAAACACAGGAGGAAAAGAGCTGTTGCTCTCGCCAGGTTGTGTGCACTCTGGACTTCAATCCTGGGGGCCCAGGTGTGGGTGTGGCCCCAGTCTACTCCTGAGGGTTTGGGCAGGGCTTGTCGGGGTGGGTCTTCAATAAACTAAAAGTGTGGGAGCCCATGCCCAGATCACTTCTAGTCATACAATTTCCAAACACTAGGTGAGGTGCTGGAGTTTTAATAAGGGACCATCTGGCATACTCTGGTCAGGCCCTGGAACCCTCCTTGCCACCTGTCGCTATTGCCCACCCAGACCCAGACCACACCAGACCATGCCAGGTCAGAGTGGTTGGCCAGGGTCAGATCTAGAAGTTTAGACCCACACCTCCAGGATTGGACTAAGATCAGTCTGGATGGGCCAAGAGATGTACATCTGTTCAACCCGTCACGTTCTTTCCTATTGGTGTTTATGTTAGCTGTTTTGGGGATAGCATTTCTAAGTCAGCCAAGGTCACAGAGGATGAATTCACAAATGCAGTACAGCTTAGCTACTAAAACGCTTGGACTAGTCTATGGGGAGGGCACGGGAGAAGCAGCAGTGCTGGAGAATACCCTTCCGAGGGCTGAGCATGCCATAGAACACCGCCACTTCCACCGGAAACAGTCCCCTTACGACACCGAAGAAGAAACATGGCGGGATGACACAGGACATGGCACTAGTTGAGTTTGTGATTGTGCATTCCTTAAGGAACGGGTGACATTTTTTAAGTTTATATTTCTACATGTCAAATGTTTTACATTTAAAGGTGAATATAATGTGATAGCTTAGGTCTAAAAGTGGGATATAAAGTTGACCCACTGTGAGGTGATTAATGATGGACCAACTCTTCTAAGTGCTTAGGAGAATTTGGGGTGTCTGTTGAATCACCGTAAGGTCTGCAGGCCACAAAAGTTACTAGGAGTTTACAAGAAACTTTTAGATATGTTTATGCCTTTTTGATACGTAAGTAATACATTTTGAGGGTTCACATAAATCAAACCAAATAATGCCATTTCAAGATAATATTGATTGTTAACACAGATGTGATTCAAATCAGTAGAAAGGAAAATGAAGGTTTCACAGGTACCTGGTGGTCTCTTAAAATGCAAACACTAATGCAAATGTTGAAACGGATTTACCTTATCATTTCTTTCACATAGAAACTTTAACCTTTGAGCTCGCTTATGCATAAATACTCCATCCAAATGTCCTGTTTCCACTGACCGGATCTCAATAGCTTTCTCGCCCCAGCCCATTATCTGATTGGAATGAATGTAGGCTGTCAAAAGGAATTTCCAAAACTGCATTAAAAACATTAGATGGGCAATAACTCACAGCATCTGTTCACATCTTAACCACAAAAACGACAAAACAACTTGAGATAAACAGACAAAGCAAGTCTTACAACTGTTATTCACAGACTTTTTTTTTTGTGGAATCAAATGGTTGTTTCACATTTCTTGACTTTCGTTTCATTTGGGGGGTGTAACTGCTGAAGGAGATAAGGAATGGTTAACCTACCCACAGACGTGGGCATTTCTCCCCATTGGAGCACCACATCTTTAGTTATCCGGCCGTAGGTGTTCACGTACACCCCCTCATCCTCATAGCAAACGAGCATCTCCATCCCATCTGTTTTAGGCAAGATGACAATGGCATGAGGAGTGATATTGCCCTGAATCTAGAAGACAAAGAAAGGCCAGGCATTATTCTTTTTAAAAATAAGCAACATCTTCACTAGTAATAGCTAAGAATTGTAAAAAAAAAAAGGTTTCCCTTTTTTCTATTTTCATTCTAGAGGCTGACATTCTGCTTTGCTTAATTTAACCATCAACCTGTCACATACTCCAGTAAATAAATACAAACTTAGGCACTAGGTCAAGAATCCCATGTACTTGTTCCTGAACATAAGAACAGCTCAGGAGCACCTAGTACATACCAAGCACTGGGCCCTTTAACTGTACAATTTCTAGCCCTTAGAGCAGCTCCTCATGGGAGATATCTCTGCCCACATGAGGCAACTACATTTCAGGGGGATTGTGTAACCTGACCAAAGCTGCACTAATATGTGGTGGTAGCATTGGGGTTTGAACACTTGTCTTGTAGACACTGAAAATCATGTGTTTTCTACCTATTTCCAAAACAGATGAAGAGAAGCTAAATTGGATGGAGAAGAGCCCAAAGGGGGCCAGAAGATGGGACCAAAACAGACTCGTACCAAATGGGCTCTAAGCAGGTAACATAGATTGTTTATTTGGGTGCTTAAATAACAGGAAAACCCAAATGAAGGGCTTGCTGAGAAAAAAAATAAAGTTACCAGTCATTCCAAAAGTCTTACTATTGAAATAAGTGTAGATTGACTTGTTCTGGAAAAAGAGGTGCAGTGCTGCTGTGACCCCTGGCTGGGAGTGTCATGGCAGCCCCGGGGCTGCGGGGAGGGTAGGAGGCATGGGGTCGAGGGAGGTCGTGGCGAGGCTGCAGCACACGTGCGGTGAGCTGAGTGTGTGCGCGCACACATGAGGTGGAAGCTGTAACTCAACAATGAATGATGTGTGTGAATGTGTGATGCACTAAAACAACTTTTTTCTATTGATTTCTTTGGAGCAAAGTCTTTAAACTGTTAAAACACAAATCAGTGACAGATGAGGCCTTGACCTTTCCTAATAAATAATTTCTACTGGATGTGAGTCTGGGGATTACATAAGAAGACAATTTACAAGGCTCCAGTCCTACAAAGTGAAACACTGTGCAGCATCTGGGAGAAAAAGGTAGAGGGATTAAGAAGTACAAATTGGCAGTTATAAAACAATCCTGGGACTGTAAATACAGCATGAAGAATACAGTCAATAATGTTGTAACAAATGTGCATGGTGCCCGGTGGGTACTGAATTATTGGGGGGAACACTTCATAGGCTATTTAAATGTCTAACCCCTGTTCTGTACACCTGAAACTAACTTAATATTGAATGTCAACTATAATTAGAAAATAAGAAGAATTTTAAATAAAATTAAAAGTCATGTTTTAGGCAACGTTCAGTACAGTAATAGTAATACTATAATGTGCAGGGCCAGGTGCCAGCCACTTCCGATGTATTACCTCCTTGAATACGGGTGACAAACACATGGGACAGGTTCTTTCATCCCCAGTTTACAGTTGTGAAAGCTGAGGGCTGGACAGACCGCCCAATGTGCCCGTTACTTCACAGTGAACACTGGCTAGATCTAGGGTACATCTGATTGGACCACCTGACACTGCCCTCAAGTTGAAAAGAACAAAAATAGCAGAAAAGGACCATTGGCCTTGTCCTGTGTAAAATGAATTCATCTTGCTTCAAAAACCAAAAGTAAGAGCTCATCTTTTGTACTCCAGCTTAAAAAAACAAGTTTATGCCCTTGATGGAAAAACACCATATGTACGAGGGAACCCCTCGAAGCCATTGTGTATTTATCCTTACAAGTTTAAACTTCAGTCACCTTCAAAAGTACTCTCCATTGGATGCAACACACCTATTGAAACTTTTTTCCCCCTGCTCAAAACAGTTTCTGAAACTTGTTGATTTTGTTGCTTTTTAGTGCTTCTGCCATTTTTTGTTTCATCTTTTCAACATCGGCAAAAACGTTTCCCATTGAGGACTTTTTTCATCCAGGTAAACCAAAAAAGTCACTTGGGGTGAGATCGGATGAATAGGGAGGGTGGGGAATGGGGTCATACCCTTTTTGGTCAAAAACTGCTGAACACTCAGCACTGTGTGGGCAGGTGCTCTCATAAATCACCCATCGTGAAATGGACAAATGCGTTGAAAGAGTTTTCAAAACAAATTCACTGAAGCCAAAAGCAGCCTCTCACAGTAACACCAGCTGGTACACTGATACGGATGGGTTCTAGAACACTCTCTTAATGCGGGGAAGTCTGTACTACAACAGACCCACCCTCCAGAAGAAAATTCCTGTTTTTCTGGGGTCCCCCCTGTATTTTAATCTAAAGTTCGATGAGACATGTCCAGTAAATGGCACATAATTACTATTATGTGTTACTCAGCGTTAAGCAGTCATAAAAGTGAGTTAAATTTACATGTTTTGTTTATTAAAAGCATTGCCTATTTAGTAAAGGTCAAAAGTCCATCCACTTTACTGATTAGAAAAAGCAAGACTTCTATTAAAAATGTACAGAAGCAAATCTCTTTTTACATGTAGGTTGTTGGGTAGAGAGCCTTGACAGTTGGCTTCCAGGAACTTACGTGAGATGGTATGTAGATATCATAAGAGTTTCCTGAATCAACATCAATTACATGGAAACCAGTGTGTGAACCAAAAATAACCTTTAATCTTTGTCCTTCTTCTACCGTGAGATCAACAAGCAGAGGCTTGTGCTGAAGATCTGCAAAAGACTTTAAAAATTGCCCCATGAGTGTACACGTCATTCAGAGAGTCCATCTTAACAATTTTTCCTTTAGTTATTGCCTGGTGGAATTTAATGTCTTTCTTAAATAGAAAGACCAGGAAATGTGTCTTTCATTTTTTAGGTCTATTCATATTCTGGCTCTAAGAAAACGGGTCTAACACCCATTTGTACCCCTATTTCTACTCCTGGTCCTCCAGGGCAGAGAAGTGGTTTATAGTCATCAATTTTTGATACTGTCACTGTGCATTACAAACTTGGCGTCTTGGTACTGCTGATCTTTCCTGTTTATTTCTGGCCTTTTTCCTCACATGTGACAGCCAGGCCCATGCATGGCTGCTATCTTTTCAGAGGCCTCCTCGGGTGGGCCATCAGGTCCTGTCTTTGCTAGCTCTATTCAGGATCAGTGGGAGGATGGGGGTAGAACATCACAAGACTCAAGGCTCATTTTTTTACACGAATGTTGATAGCAGCTTTATGTGAATAAATCCTCCAACCCAGAAAAAACCCCACCATTCATCCTTTTGCAGGTGGGTGGTTAAACAAGTTGTGGTATATCCATACTGTGGAATACTACTCAGCAGTGCTAAGGAACAAACTACTGCGCATTGGTGGTTCAGTGGTAGAATTCTCGCCTGCCATGTGGAACAAACTACTGACACACACAACAACCTGGCTGACTCTTCAGAGAACTATGCTGGCTAGCTGGCTAGTTGGGTTTAACTAGAAAGAACAAAATCAGGAGCTCCGGGTAGGTTTATCTAGGTTGTATGTGTTTGAGTCAGAGCCAAAGCCACAACATGAATTTACGTGTTCTTCTGATTCCCTTTGCCACTCTTTACATTCATTGGGTCTTGAAGTCTGGGAGAGAATTTGGGGAACCACAAGTGCCTTGCTATAATGCCACTGTCCCTGACAGACCCCCCTCTCCACATCCATTGCTAACACCATCCTTACAGTATGGGAGGCCCTGGTCTCGTACCCTTGTCCTATGGGAGGGCTCGGCCCCTGCTCATTGTTTAATCCAGTCTTTTTTGTTCAAGTCCTGGCCTTTGCTCTTCCCTCTTTCCAGGCCAGCTGTGGTCTGCTGAACAAAGCATTTCACACTCTCGCATCCACTTTGGCTAGTAAACTGATGGCACTGATTTCAGAGCTGGAATGGGATCCTGATTGAAAAGCTTTTGTGGAGAGAGAGATTTTGGCAGAACAGCAGTACCACTTTAGCTTTTAGGAGTGATCCCTTAAGTGCTATTACTAACCTAATGCATTCCAAAAATTTCTCTGTAAAAGTGGGGTTGGGAAGGGGAGCCCATTTCCATTGATGAATCTATCTTCCAGAGTATATCACGAGTAAGCCCCTAGTGCTAAGGGAACAAGAAAAAAGTGGGTGATTCAGACATGAGGATGGGCTCATAATGATCTCAAGGCAGCTTTTGCCCTCACATGACATATGTGGGAAGAAAGCATATGTAAAGGGTCAACGAGAAGAATGATCAAAAGATAGGGAAAAAGTAAGAACCAATGAGATACGAAGAGAGAGGCATAGGCAGGGAGAGAGAAAGAGGGAATGAACAGAAGTTACATTTAACATTGGCTATGGACAGACTGTGTAGCTCTGGACACATCGGAGTGCCCATGAGTGCTGGTCCTTCTGGCATTTGGGGTCAGTTCCATGATCTCAGCAAGGGGCCTAGCACATCCCTGTTCTGCTTCTGCTGAACCTTCTCAGTGATCAGTCTAACCATGGTGGGTATAGAGACTCAGACAAGGTCAAAAATAATTAAAAAGCCATCAAAAGAGAAGAATGAAGAGAAACTAGGTCATTTTCAGCTGTGACTGAATTCAGTTTTCATTTCAGAGAAATCCGACAGCTCTGGGGATAGGGAACGTGAAGTGAGTTTCAGGAACTTCACTGCACAAGGCTTATGGAGATTACAAGATTCAGGGACAGCTCAACCTTGCAATTCAGTGCTGCTGTCGGTCTGCCTTTTTCAAATGAAATGTCAGAGAGTGCCCTAGTTAGATGGCTGTATAATGAGTCTCATTGCCTAATATCACAATTAATGATTCATCGGGGAACCATTTCACCCTAAATTCCACTTGGAGAAGGTGATTCATAGACCTGAAATGGAGGAGTGTGTACCCAAATTTTGATCTGGCAAATTTTATAGCATTTATTAATCCTTAGTCTTTATGTTTAGAATAATAAATCTAAGTGTTTCTATACTTTTAAAAGAGCTTTATTATATATAGGAATATTAATATTACTCTATGTGCAAGACAGACCACTTTGGTAACTGGTAGGAATCAAAAATTTAAGAAAGACTAAAACAAGTACTTTTTAGGTGGCCACATGTCTGCTTACCTTAAATGCCATGAACTTATGATATGGTTTCGGAGCCCAAGCATATATCTCCACGGCATTCTTTAAGGCAATCACCAAGAATTTGATCCTCTCATATTTAACTATAATAGAAAAATTGTAAGTTAAGAACATGTATCAATTTATTGAACTTTTTGTGTTAATGAATGTGTAACCCATAATATGCAAATATACGGGGTGGGGCAAAAGGAGGTTCACAGTTGTTTGTATGGAAAAATAAAGTTAATAAATAAAAATGCAAGAATAAACTGTGTTTCATGTACTCACAACTGTCACCCTACTTTGTCTCGCTCTGTACATAGAAAACTGTAGCTCAGGGTAATGTGGTTGGTGTGGGATTTTCTTATGTTGTAGATACCGATTTAACTACCATTAGTGTACGTGGTTTGCATATGCTTGGGGCTTTTTGCTTTATGCTGAAGGTTCTGTTCTTAATCTAAAGACGTAACTGCCTTAGGACTTTCTTTAACCATTAGGTCTAGGTGTGAACTATTTATTGTAATAAGAATCTACCTAATATCCCTTAATGTTTCCTTGCCTGGCTTTTATACCCATTCACATGTAAGTAAGTAGCCAGGAGCTGGTAGAAAAACTAGCAAATGGGTAGAGACATAAAGACTTCTTTTTGTTTACTATTCATATTTGAATTCCAATTATTAGAAATTTATAAGGAATTAGTGCCCTTATAAAAGAGACCCTAGGAAAAGCCCTCTCCCTTTTCTGGTATGTCAGGTTCTAGCCACAAGACAGCGGTCTGCACACCGGGAAGTGAGCCCTCAGCAGGCAGCGCATCTGCCAGTAACTTGATGTTGGTTGGACTTTCCAGCCTTGAGAATTCTGAGAAATAAATTCCTATTGTTTGTAGGCCACTCAGTCTGGAGTATTCTGTTATAGCAGCCTGAACAGACTAAGACAGTACATATGGCATTTTAAATTTTTGACATTTTTATGCATTATCTGAACAAACAGAGTATTCTGTGTTCTAAAGAAATTGGACAGTCCAGAACAACACCAAATTCTTGCTCTTTGAGCTCTCTTTTCCTGTAATATGTCCCTTCTGATTATACATTCTGTCTTTAATATACTTTCAGCTACTTCTTTAGCAATTTATTTCCATATTTCTCAATAACATTCCTATTACGTATTTGTTGATTGATTGTTTTCAGTTGTACATATTATCTACTGACTTTGTAGTATGGAAAGGATTCAGTTTCTTACAACTATTTCCTCTCTCTAGATCTCTCTTAAACACACATTTCTTCCTCTTCCAAATCTTCCATATAGTTGTATTTTAAATTTTTGGTTAATTCAATGGTCTGTGTTCACATCATTATTGCTCACAGATGAGGCACATAGTATACCATAATTATATTTCCTCTCTTGTTTTCCTGTACTTGTTTTATACGTATGTATCTCTAAGCACGTGTCAACCTTCTGTGAATGCTATAAATGCCTTCACTACAATCCAACACAACAGGCAACCTATTAGTAATATTTTATTTTTCTTGAATGCACCCCTTCTGGAGCCCTCTGTTGTTCTACTCCATTTGGACTGATACATACAACTGTACACACACCCTGCTGGTTCTGTCTCTCTGGAGAACTCTGACGAATACAGGTGGATTATAAAATACTGGGTGAAAATAACTTTTCCCTCAGAATTTCAAAGCCTTGCTCCATTGTCTTCTAATTTTTCTAGTACTGCTGTAAGTGCCAGGCCACCTGATTCTGGGTCTGCTATGGGTAAACTGTTTGTTAATTTATTTATTTACTTAGAGTCTGGAAGCTTTAAGGACTAAAATATCATGTTGATATGTCTTGTTTTGAGTCTTTTTTTTTTGTTGTTGTTCACTGTTCTGGGTACTCAATTATTTTAATTTGGGATTTCAAGACTTTCGTTATAAAATTTTTCTTATATTCTTTATTTGATACTTTCTTCCCTTTCCATTTCTTCTTTTTTAAAATTCCTGCTACTTAGATTTTGAACCACTTGTACTGATTCTTTTATTTTTTTTAACTTTCCACTTATTCCCCCAATTTTTCGGCCCTACTTTCTAGGAGATTTCTCAACTTTATCTTCCAAAATTTCTGTTATATTTTTACTCTTGCCAATATATTTTAATTTCCAAGCTTTTTTTTTTGCATTTTGAATGACTTCCCCCAACCTTGCTCCACATTTTTGATAGCCATTATTGTTATTTTTATGGAAACAGTTTTTATAGCCTCTCTGAAGTTGTTTCTTTCTCTAAAATTTTCTTCCACTCCTCATTGTCCTTGGTCCCTCTCTAAAGTCCTTTCTAAGTTTCCTACCTAGAAGTGGATTTCCCTATGTCTGATATGGAGGCTTACTGACTGCTGGGCTCTGCTTTAAGAAGTTAGACACCAAGCTTTGTTCATGGCATTTCAAATATTAGTACCTGAACGTCTTTTTTGCTGGTCATTTAGTTTCTCTGCAGACAAATCTCCAAATCTCTTGCTTGGGGGGTTAACCATGGTTGCCAACCTTCCAGAAGCTAAACAGGGTGGAGTGTGCGTGTGTGCTCCCTCACCATTCAGTATTCCCCATCATCAAACTGGCCATGACAGCCTTGTGTCTTCTGTTTTAATTGGGGAGGGCGGCTCCCTGACTGGCTTCTGAAGGAACTTTCTATTCATTAACTCTCCAACAATCCTTCTATTGTGGTTTGACTTTACTCTTCCACCTCAGGTACACCTGGGGCCTCAGGTCCTGGGCCTTTCTGGATTCTGTTTAAGAGACTGGACTGATTTTGGTGAATTTACTCACTGAAAACTTAAAATTCAGCACTTCCTGGTTGGCTAGGTTTGTTTTTAGCCATCCAACTACTCTTATTCAATTTTCTTGACATCTCCTTTGCTGGTTTCAATTCTGATCCCTTAGGTTTATGGTATTTTTATTCCTTCACTGTCATTTAAATGGGTGGCATTAAAAATATATATATATATAGATACATATATATATATATACACACATTTAAACTGGAGCCCAGGACTTAATTCTGAATGCACTCTTCCAACTTCATTTATCTTTTGTTTTTTTGAAATAATGCAAGTATACTTACAGTTTTAGCAATGTTTTAACTTGGTGCATCATCAATGTATGATAGAAAAAAACTGAATGAAACTTAACTGCATAATTCAGGTTGAGTATGAAAAACAGTCCCGTGTCTCCAGACTTACCAACTTTGTAATGTATACAGCCTTCCAAGTCCCCAACGGTGATCCAGCCTTGTTTCTTTTCCACTTCTGGGTCATTGTGTAGTATTCTATTTCTTAACCATGAAAGATAGTAAACTCGTAGCTTATTCTTCTTTCCTGTTAAAATAATAGAGATTTCATTTGAAGACCCTGTAACAGTGTTTTCTCTCAACCTACCTCATCTCCATTTCGTTTTATCCACTTATTTTCATTTATGTGTGTGTTTGTGTGTGTATGAAGGCACATTAACCAGTGTCTCCAGCATTGTCAAAGTGTGTCTCTGACAAACCTTATGATTAAAACAGCTCTAATTGTTTTGGACAAATAACTATTTTATTTTTTAATATATTGTATTGATTATGCTAACACAGATGTCCCAATTTTTTGGCTTTTGCCCCGTTTTGCCTGGTACCACCATTCCCTCCAGCTATCCCCTCCCATAGTTCATGTCCCTCGGTCATGCATATAAGTTCTTTGGCCACTCTGTTTCCTATACTGTTCTTAACATTCCACTGTCTATTCTGTGCCTACCAATTTGTGCTTATTAATCCCTATACCTTTTCCCACATTCTCCCCATTCCCCCTCCCAGCTAATAACCCTCCAAAATATTCTCCAGTATTTATGGTTCTGTTCTTGTTCTGCTTGTTTACTTAGTTTGTTTTTTAGATTCAGTTGTTAATAGTTGTGAATTTGTTGTCTTTTTAACATTCATAGTTTTGTTCTTCTTTTTCTTATATAGTTCCATTGGATATAATAAGGGCTTGGTAGTGATGAACTCCTTTAACTTTACCTTATCTGGGAAGTACTTTATCTGCCCTTCCATTCTCAATGATTTAGGTCCTTGCTTTTCATCACTTTGAATACATCTTGCCAGTCCCTTCTAGCCTGTGAAGTGTCTTTTGAAAAATCAGCTGACAGTCTTATAGGAACTCCTTTGTAGGAGTTACCTACCTCCTTTGTAGGTAATTCTCTGCTTTTCTCTTGCTGTGCTTAAGATTCTCTCTTTATCTCTAACCTTTGGCATGTTAATTATGATGTATTTTGCTATGGTCATCTTTGGGTCCAACTTGTTTGGGATTCTCTGTGCTTCCTGGACTTGTATGCCTATTTCCGTCACCAAATTAGAGAAGTTTTCTTTCATTATTTTTCCAAGTAAGTGTTCAATTTCTTGTTTGTCCTCTTCTCCTTCTGGAAACCCTATGATCCAGATGTTGGTACATTTGGAGATGTCTCAGAAGCTTCTTATTCTATCCTTGTTTTTTTAAAATTATTTTTCTTCTTGCTGTTCTGATTGAATGCTTTTTTCTTATGTTTTAAATTGTTGATTTTACTCTGGGCTTTATCACCTCCACTGTTGTTTCTCTATAGATTTTTCTTTATCTCACATAATGCGACCTTCTATTGTGCCTGGTTCTTTTTTGTGCTGTTGCAGTACTCAAAGATTTCTTTGAGCATCCTGATAACCAGTTTTGAACTCTGTATCTGATAGGCTGCTTGTCTCTCTTTCATTTAGTTCTTTTCCTAGAGTTTTGTTCTGTTCTTTCATTTGAGCCATATTTCTTTGTCTCCTCAATTTGGCAGTCTCCCTGTCTTAGTACTGTGGCCTATTGAAGAAAAGGTACCTGTAATTTTTGTGGGGTGGAGCCTTAGGTAACCACCAGGGTGGGGCAACCTGTTTCACTGCATGGGGCTCTGTGTGTGGGAGGGCTCAGAGGGGACAAGGCCACTGGCCTCTGGAGATTGCCCAGGAGGAAGCTGTCTCCCGGGACTCACCCTGTTGTCAGTTACTTCACTTTCTCTCCTTCTTCGTTTATGCCACTTGTGCCCTGCCAGCTGTTGTCCTGGTGCTGAATCCCAGAGTAGGTGGGTCTGCATGAATCCTACATCTGTTGTGGGCCCTTAATAGAAGTCTCTTAAGAATCCTGCAGTTTCTTCTGCCTCAATCCCCACTGCCTTTTGGTGAAGTTATGGTGTCTTATTTTCCTGGTGCTGGAACCCTAGGCTGGGTGGTCTGTTCTGGAGCAGGGATGACTCAATCGTGAGGTATCCCTCCAGATTTTCATCCAGCACACATGAATGTGAGACTGCCCATTCCACCACCTCTCTGTGCCTCTTTGTGTCTCCACCATCCTACCCATCTGGATGAATGTGGCTTCTTTAATTCCTTGGTTGTCGGACTTCCATACAGCTTGATTTTCTGATGAATCTGGGTGATATTTGCTTTGTAGTCTAGTTGTAATTTTTGCTGTAGTTGTATGCAGAGGCAAAGTGCATTTGCTTCCATCTTGACTGGCAGTCCAAGTAACTATTTTATAATTTGTCTTTGCCTTCAGGTTATATTTTATTTGAACATGCTGTTCTTACTCTTTCTTCTTAATACAAAGAGTAGTATACTGCTGCACTCAGTGAGACCTAACTTTTTTGTGTGGGTTTTATTGTTTATGCTATTACAGTTGCCCCAATTTCTTCCTTCTTCACCTCCTTCTGCCCATCCCATCCCCTCTTCCATAGTCAACTCACATACTGTTTTCCATTTCCATGGGTACTTCATATATATTCTCTGACTAGCCCCTTCACCTTCTTTTAAACAGTTCCCATCTTCCCCCTCCCCTCTTACCACTGTCAGTCTATTCCATGATTCTATGCCTCTGGTTCTCTTTTGTTCATTAGTTTATTTTGTTTATTGGATTATCCTTATAGGTGAGATCATATGGTATTTGTCTTTTATCAACTGGCTTATTTCACTTAGCATATTATATGAGTGGATTAAAAAACTGTGGTATATTTACACAATGGAATACCATGCAGCAGGAAAAAAGAAGGAATTCCTACCTTTTGAGACAGCATGGATGGAAGTGGAGGCTATTATGCTAGGTAAGACCTAATTCTGTAACAGAATGATGGATCAGAGTTCCAGAATGTTCTAGATCTCCATACATGAAGGAGTGTTGACAAGTGGATATTTTATTATATGTGCCTGCCTTCCCCTTACCTTCTAACCTAACAGCACATATTAATGGAGATTATCTCTTGTTTACCTCCTCTACTACTTGAAAGATGATAGCTGGTCGTAGTTTTATTTTACTTGATTAACAAAAAAAGAATTTGTAAAGGAACAAGAAAAACAAGTTCAATGAAGGTAACCTGAGCTTAGAAACTAACACTGGATGCATTTATGGCGCTGAGATCATAGAAAGAAATGCCAAACAAAAAATAGGGAAGACAAAATAGGTGAGTGCTTGGGAAAAAAACTTAAAAGTTCCCTTTGGTAATAAAGACTTTATAGCATAATAAAAAATCTTAAAAATATTGAAGAGTATACTTTAAGATACTCCATGAGATTATCTGTGTTCCAGATGAGAAAGTATCCCTTGGGGTGGCTCTTCCTAAGTGTTCAGAAATTTAGGCCTGTGGGTTTTACTTCTCGGGTACTTATTTTCCTTTGATTTCTCTTAGGTGTCAAAAGATGTTTTATATTTTACAGATGTAATATTTACCAAAAGAAAACTCATTAAAGCAATCATACACTGCATTTCACAGGAGAATGCATTCATGACTTAAATTAAAGGAATCACTGTGCCGTTACAATTTCCTTTTGTAATCAAGAGCCTGGAATACATATTGATCACAGCAGCTAGGATGAGTGGGAGAGCCGGTGCTCCCCTCTTTCTGTGCCAGCACAGACCCAAAGGGGGTTCAAGAATCTTTGGCTCTTATTTTCATCTTATTCTTTTCCCACCTATGCTTCATGAGAAAAGTAAATGCTTATACTTCTAAAAATGGGAATGTGTCACTCAATACATAATGGAGCCTGGATGTGAATTTCTCAGTATTGTTTCCACTTTTGGTAGGTGGCTAGCAGAGGATTACTTTTAAATTTGACTTGGTAGTGTAGTAATCAAGAAAGCAATGAACCAGAACAAAGGACTACATTGAATTAAACTCAAATGATAACATAAGAAAACTTTCCTGGTTAAATGCTATGTGGGGCGAGTATGAAAAGGAGTCTCTGAGCATTTGGTGGGAGGGTAAAAGAAAGAGGGAGCCGTGGCATCAAGTGTAGATGTTTGTTTCAAAATAGAAGTACAGCTGAAGAATTAAACTTTGTTTAAGATTCAATCCAGTAGCGTTGTGTGGTCTCTGCTACACAATGGCTGCATGTAGAACCATGGTTTTCAAACTTGGCTGCACACTGGAAACACTTCAGGAGCTATGAACGCAGTGGATGCATGAGCCCAAGGGATTCTGACCCCTGGTCTGGGGTGTAGGCCAGACTTTCCATATCTCCTCACTTTTGTCTCCATCTTTTTTAAAGCTCCTTTTGGGAACCAGAAAGCTTGAAGGTGTAGCAGTAACGATCCCCACAGTCAAATCTCTTTGCAGACTCAGTCACCCAGTGGGCCAGCTGCACTTGCTAAAATATTACTGGACTCTAAGCTAGAGTAGTTCACATAAGAAAAGGGACCAGAGAAATTTCTGTTTACAAAATTTCCCACTGCCAGAAGCCTACATTTTGATCTTCTCCCTATGAGAGTAGACAGCAATGATGGGAGTGCAGACACCTTCAAAACACCCTTGCTGAGTCCTGATGGTGGGTAAAGGCCCATAGGAATAAGCTTTTGTGGTAGGTCTCTGCCAAATTCAGATTTCAAGTGAGAGAGACTTACCTTTAGAGGTCAGAATGGCCAGAGTTACAAAATGCAGGTGATCTTGCTCTGACTCTACTGCTAGAATTTATTGTGTTAGCTGGGGAAGGGCAGAATTTACTGTTTCTTCAGAAATGAGGTGATCACCTTTCCTATCTGTGTAGACTTGGAGACCTTAGTCACCCTAGTAACATACCTGATATTGTCACGAGGACATTCAGTCCCTCAAGCACATCCATCTGCTGAAATCGCCTCCGATTGATCAGATTATAGACTTTGCCTTGCCCACTTCGGTCCAAAAGCATCAGGCCATTTTCAGTTCCCACCAGGAGGTTTACACCTGCAAATTTAAGAAGCACCTCAAGACTGACTTTATAAGGGCTTTAACCTGGAGTCCCTGTAAAAGCTAAGAAATAATGCCTTATAAATATAAACTAATGGGCAAGTAGGTACTATAGTTGGGAGTGTAGAAGTGGAAGCTCTGACATAGTAATTAAATTACTGTCTCTTTGGTAATGAAATTAGTTTTAATTTATGAAGTGGTAGCAGCGTTTATTACATCTAGCCATTTACTACCTTCTATAAAGAGTCCTTATCCAGAGGAGCCTTAGGCTCAGCTGTGAAACTACCACAGTTTGCCTTTGTTCCTTCCCTCTAATTCCCTTTCTTGGCTCTCTAAATCCCACTTCAAGATTCCCCCAAGGCTCACCTCCCACCTTATGCATGCAGTGATTTCTAGCTTATCCACTTCCAACATACAACCGTGCCCCATATCCACAGCCCCCTGGAAGTAAAAACCCCTCCTTCTCCTCACACCACAGCTTAATCTATGTCCTAAGGTTCTGCTTGCTGTTAGGATATGACAAAATAATGTAAGTGAGGCTGTTAATAGCCTGAGAATCACAGAAATATTGACTGTAAAGAACATCTTACAATCTAGTGCAGCCCACCTTCCATACAGTAATCCCTGTTAGAAAGCTCTGGCAGGTATGTGGTCTTGTCTGGATAGCTACAGTGCTAAGAATTCATCCGTGGGCAAATCACTGCCCCCTCGACACACAGCACACACATATACACTGAGAAGTCCACCGTGCAATGTGCTACATTCATGAATAATAACTTTCTAATTTCCCTTGCTTGTTGTATGTCTATGTTACGAGGAACATCAATATCTGCTCTTTCATCTACATATTCACTATTAAACATGCCCAGCTTGCTGTCTGCTATCTCTTCTCCAGAGGATAGAGCCTTACTTCTCTCCATCATACCTCCCATGAAATGGTTTTGGGGCTTCACACTCTTTACCACTAACATCTGAAATGCCTTTGTCTTTATAAAATGGTGGTGCCCAAATCAGGCTTGGCACATTAGGTGGGTACAGAGATGGGCCATGTCTTTCCTTGATCCGTCCATGATATTTATAGTAACACCAACCAGGGCTTCGATAGAATCTCATCACACCTACACTGAGTTTGAGGTCAGCTAAACCCTACAGATCATTTTGATAAGAACTAAAGGTTGATGTCTTGAACTAAAAGGGAGGGTTCATCCTCTATTGTTCTTTCCAAGTTTATCCTGCTACTACTAGTAGCCTTTGGCAATTCATGAAAATATGCTGGGCTAATTTTCCAGCTGTGAAATAGAGGTACACCACTATTCCCCTCATAAGATTTGTAGGGATCACAGAAAGTGGGGCACGTTACTCAGTGTTGGGCACATTGGTGGTAGCTAGGTCTGTTGTTAGCTTGAGTCCATCACTTATGTAAGATGGTTCTGAGTCTCATTCTGTGATCCTGAGAATTAGGCTATCAGTTCCTGCGACATATAAAACTGCTCTTGATTGTTCCTGAGGCCAAGAGAGTCCCCAAGTCAGGTCTCTGACCCCCATGATTCCAGCAGAACTCTTCTGATGGTAAGATCCATAAGCTCTAAATGTTTGAGGGTCAATTCATTACTGAGCAGGAGAGAGCACCAACTTACCCCACAGAGCTGCACAAAGTATTTCTGAATTGAATCGTTTCTTGTATTTTCTGATTTCCGGTGTGTCACTGTGAGGCCGAATGTTGGTTGGGTTTACGTTTACCACTGAAATCTTTCTTGCTTCATTGAGTTTGGCTTGCTCTTGCCTAAGAAGTTCACTAGTAAACAGAGCTTTGAGAAAAAGAATCAGAGAAGTCAGCGGCACCTTAAAAAGTAACCAGTGGAGTCATGGAGAAGCAGCTTCAGAACACAATGATTTCTCCTTGTTTAGTGTGCATTATAGCAAAGGCGAACAACTCTGAAACTTTATGTTTTTTTAAGTAGGATAAAGTATGAGTCATTCAGAGAAGCAGTGTTTTGCCCATTAGTAAAACAGGCTTATGGGCACCACTGGAGTCGTTTGGGAACTTGATAATTATCTCACGAAATTAAATACACCACCCTCATCTCCCATCATATATGCAGGGAAGAGTTACTTTTTGAAATTCTACCTAATCAATGGACAAATTGGCCTAAGTTGAGTCTGATGATTAGTGAGTTGCAGAAGTCTAGAAAGCAAGACCCTCCTTGAAAGCAGCCAGCTTCTGCAGCAGGAAGCACACACCTGGAACCCAACACAACTCAACACGCACTTATTAAGTGTCTACTGTGTGCACAGCACTGTACCCAGAAATTGCTTTTGAGAAATATGTGCTAGATTTGGAGATCTCTGATGAACAGCTTTTCCTAGGGCCCCTGGAAACCTTTGGATTCCTACCAGAAATGAAATTAAATAAATAAAAAGAGGAAAAAAATTTTGAGAATTCTACAAAAGTAATAATTAAAAATAAAAATATTCCTTTTAACGCAGGGCCTAAGGAGTAAATGGGTTAAGTATAGAACTAGTTAATGATTGATTTTTTTATCAAGTGATACTAGAAAGGAAAGCTAAGCTATTTCTAAAATACCAGGGCCACCTTGCTTACCTGTGGCTGATGATTCTTCATCCTCTTCATCTTCATCAGTGGGAGACGTCTGGTACACTCTGGGGTCCACAAAGGGGGTGAAGGATGCTTTAGTGCTGCTTCCCATGCCATACTAGCCAAAAAGCAAGAAGAATAAGAGCACATTAATAAATACTACAGCAACAAATACTGCTAATAGTACTTTGTTTGGGCTTTAAAATAATTATAGACTCTCAAGTCTGTCCAGATGCTCACACTCTAAACCCCTGATCAAAGTGCGTGCCTCTCTCCCAAGCTGCTCCTGGTGTTTGTTACTCACTAGCCATTGTGCCTTTGCAGGGTTTCATTATCAGACTGCTAGAGTGACAGCAAATAAATTAGATTTGGATTGTATGTGGCCCCTTAATATCTGGTAAGATGACTGGTGACAGAGCTCACTTCTCCCTTGAAGTAAAAACAATCTCCTATTGTCCAACTTTTCTTAAGAAAAGCTGGTGCAGTTGGCAATAAACTAAGCATGTCCTCACAGCAGCACTTGGCTTGAACACATGGTCATCCAAAGGCTCTCTCTTGGGGACGCAGGCCCTTCCACAGTGGCCTTGTGATGCTGGTGGATTGGTGTTGGCTCAAGAAGCCTTACAATCTTTAGTTCAGGGACAATTTCATGAAGGAATCAAAGATTTTTCCTTAGCAGGATAGTGCCCTTAAAAGGATACTTACATTCACATGCCTTACGTGGGACTTTATGAAAATACCAGGTTTGTAGGCAATGCACCTTGAGGACTCACTTAAAAGATAAATCTGAAGGGCTTGGGAAGCACCAGGAAGACATGAAGTCAGAAGTGGACTATGGAGCAGTAAACTCAAATATCAGGCTTCATGTGATGATATTCCATGTCTGAGTTTCGTAAAAGGAGCTTCAATAACCATCTCTCCATTTTGTCTGTCCTCTCCATTCCTTCTACTATTTCAAGTTCTTTTAATATCACAAACAGACCTGCACTCAACATAAGAAACACCTCTTTTTTTTTGTATAAGTGTCTTCAACTGCCTTTTTAGTTGTATTTTTAGGTTTTCACTTAAAAATCTAACCAACATCCCAAGATCCCTAAACACGTAAGAAGAAAACCACAAAGCTAAGGTTTCCCTTCCATCTTATAAAATCACAACCACCTCATCCTCTGTAAGGTAGGACCCGCCCCCCAAACAGAGCGCTTTCACATCCATGCAGTCCACTGGTCTTTAGAAGACGTCTGTGAATACCCCTCTGTGTTCTTTTCCTTCAGGTGAACAAAGCTTGTTTACTCTGTAACTTTACCATCCAAAGCATGGATCGCAAGAAATTAGTGCGCAACATTAAAAACAACAGTGCACATGCCTTTATAAACCCATGTAGGGAGGGCCTAACTGTGATTCATAGGACTGCTTGTGAAATATGACCAGCAGCTGAGAGCTCTTCTTATGGATCAGTGTGGCCAATGACATCTACGCGCACTACCTAATCACCATGCCTGTTGAAGCTTTTTTCCAGGACTTTCTCCCTCTAGGAAAGATAATGTCCCATTTTTCTCTTTCTCATGCAATTTAGAGTCTCCAAAGTATCTATTTGGAGTTTGAGAACATATCTATTTATTGATTTTTATTTTTCATAAGTCATTTCAACCTCATTTCATGTAAGTCAAACTTAGTTTGACTATATTTTTATAAATATGAACCTCAACTACTGGCCCTGGAATTGCTATAGGCTGAATGAAGTTCTTACCACTGGCCAAGCAGGTAGGAGGTCCCAATACTGGTCTTAGCTCTGTCACAAACCAGCCTTATTATGCCTTGGGTAGGGCTCTTAGTCTCTGTGAACCTCATCTGTGAAGTCAGGTGTTGATGATATCTGAGAACTTTTCACTGCTCTGCTCCTATGGTTTCCCCTAGCTGAGGATATGCATAAGCAGCTATGTAGTAGAAACCAACCGAACACATTTCTGGGAGCTCAGCAAAGACTCATTCTTGAAGAGAGAAGGGTTTCAGAACGCCCTGAAAAAGAGTAGAGCTATCATGGCTGCTGCCCAGCACCTACTTCAGTCCCAGAGTCCATTTCCTGGGAGTGCGTGGAAACGCGTCCCAGGCCCTCAGTCGGGGTCCCAGCCGGGGAATGACTCTGCTGCACCAGGTCTGGGAGATTGATGTGGCCGGCAAAGCCATTGCTGTCACTGTGGCCAGATCGCTTCTTCTCTGCAGAGGTCTGGGGAGCAAACAAATGGGGCATCATAGGGGGAAGCAAAGGCTACAGCGTGACCTCACCCCTCACATAGTGTAGGCAATGTCGTCTCCACATCCACCCACTGGAGAGTGGGAAGATTCCACTCATGTGTCTATTTTACCTAAGAAAATAAGAAAGAAGTTAAGCTTTGCTAATATTTAGTGTATGGACTGACCCTGAGGTCTGATGCTGCTGCAGGAAGGGCAGTCTGGGGCCACATAGAATGTGGGGGTTTGCTGTGGGAAGACAGGGATGCTGCAGGTGGGGGGTTGGGTGGGGCCCGTACTTGCAAGTATTTGTGTACCTGTTCCTGTGCACACACATCGGTGTGTGTATGGACGGAATCTGGGGACCCTGTTACCAGGTTATAATGACACAGACCCACAAAACAGACACATGCTCTAAAGTGTTGCTGAAAAGAGGCAGTAGGATGAGATAACACTAATAAGCCATGCACACGTGTATGCCAAGAAAATACAGGAGATACGCAACCACAGGGTTCTTTGGCAGTCATGAAGTCAGAACGATGATTAATCGGGTCTGAGAGGAATTACCCTCCCACCCCCCCAAATCCACCAACTTTCCCCTCCAAAAAACAAAACAAAACAAAATCCCAAACCCCCCAAACGTGGTGATGATCCATGGTTTGGATCACCGTGTTGCAAAGATTACTTGAAAATATAGATTTACAATCTACTACTACTAATGTTGAATTTCTCAGAAGTAGCTATGGTGCCTTGTGATAGCAGCCAGTTAAAAAAATGAAGCCATCATGACTAGCAAAGCATTTGAAATACCATTTATGCATCTTTTTTAAATGCTCTTTAAAGGTATTTTATAATGTATACAATATGTTAGTGCAGTAGAACAAATGCATGACTTGTAAATAAATACACTGTAGTCTGCGGCACGCTCTAACATTTTTACTGATAGAGCCGCCTGACCCAACACATTGTAAATCACTGCTTGGGAGAGCAAAGCCCCCTTCCTAAAATCCCAGGGACAAAATACAGGATTGAAGGACAATGGCGCTCCCTGAAAGCCAATGCCCACCACACCGTAGTCCTGGCTGGCACTGCGCTTTTTAATTTAACACTCATGCGACTAGATCCTTGAGGGCTCTTAGAGCAGACCTGACTTAGTAACCAGTTCCTTCCTTGCCTTTTTTTCTGCTCATTTACCCAACATTTTTGAAGCCTACTAAATGTAAGGCATTTTGCTGAACATGCCGGAATCAGCCAGGAACAGAGTGAGTGCACTCCCTGCCTTGTTTGTGGCTGGCTGGCATGGGCGAGGGTTCATGCTGTTTCTGTGACCACCTCACCAGACTGGCTTTTTCTTTCCAGAAACTGTCCTGTTTTTGTAACTCCAGTTCTGCACCTGCCTCTAGCTGGAAGGGAAAGGAGGAGCTTTTTTTCCTAAGAGAAGCAGACTCCCAAATTCCAGAAGGGGTGTATGTAACTGATGTTACCAGGAAGCTTGAGAAGTAACCGCAGAGCATAGTGACCTCTATATTTTTTGTCAACGTGCTTCTGGCCTATAATGTGTCCCAGAAAGAGGCATTTTCTGGATTCATTTTGCCACATGGCTCATCTGAACATTACACCAGCTAACGACATTTTGGGGGTTCCATACTAATGCATTTTATTGTACTGGGCAGCTTCTCCATTTTTCTAACTTCTGTTCAAATATTTAAAAGCTTTTGAACATCTCCCCCAGCTTTCCAGGAGCATAAATCACACCTTATCTCTTTAGAGTTCTGCGATCTCTCTTCTATCATCAGCATTCTGTCTCAAGCCAAAAACGGATGCAGACCCAGTGGTTCTCTTAGGCCTGAAGAGGCTCATGAAGGGGAACAGCCCCGACTGGGAGAAGCTTGAAGGAGCCCAGCAATGACCCCTCAATCTTCCCACTTCTGGGTCATCACCCTCTTGTTCAATTAACCAGTACCTCCTTCAAATTAAGTATCTTTTGTGTGCCAGGCATTCTGCTGGGAATACAAAAACAAGTGCACAATAGTCGTACCCCCTAGGACCGTATTAACAGAACCCCTCAGATCTCTGTAACCTTCATGCCCTCACCATTTCCACAGGGGTGGGCACTAAGATGTTCCAATATATGCGTGGGACATATGCCATGCTAAGCACTTTATGTTTATATCCTCCCAATAACACCATGTGTTAGCTTCTCATTTTATAGATGGAAAACTTCAATGTGAAAAGTTCAATTAACTTGTCCTGACTGACACAGGTTTCAGTGGTGAAATCAGGGTTTGAACCAAGGCTGTCTGGTGGCAAAGCCCAGGTGCTCTGGGTGGCTGCTGTGGCAGGTGGCTCTGCTCTAGGCGACTGGACCAGGAGTGGACACCTGAGCCAAGGAGGTTCAGGTTCCCACTGGAATCTACTATTAGGCCTGAGAAACACTGGTCAGCCTCTGCTGGACAGCTGGACTGGGATGTGGTGACTGTCTCGCAATGGGGGTTCTGGGGGATGAGAGCACGTGTGTGGGGGGGGTGGAGAGAAAGCTGCTCTGTGAGACACAGACCACAGGGGACGTGTGGAGGAAACAGCGAGGCAGCCGGAGGTGAGCACGTGAGAAGCTGCCTGAGCTCCTGATCACTTTTCAGTGCCTGCACAGCCCTGCATGGGGTCCCGGTTCACTCTCTGCCTTTGGTGTCCTTCGATGAAATGCCTCTGAATCTTTGTTCCCCATCTCTGATACCTACTCCACTTTTGTGCTTAAGCTGTTTGGGTTATTTTTCCTATTACTTGGAAACAATAGAGGCTTCATGGTGATAAGCTAGTGTTCTGGTTCACTAGGGTGGACAGACCCTAGAGAGGTCATTAGTTGGTCAGTAAGGAAGGTACTAAGGACCAAGGCCCATGGAGTCCCAGGAGAGGCTGCCAGAAGAAAGGGAAGGCTGAGCCAGGCCCACACCGGCTGCTAGGTGAAGAATGGGAAGTGGTGGGAAGGGAGAACAGTTCTTCCAGCAGATGGGCCCTATGGACAAAGAGGCAGACGGCAGCTGGTGTGGTGTGTTCTAGAACTAGAATAAAGAAAGGCCTGGTGGGGCCATAAGGGTAGTGAAAGTAGAAGCCCAGGGACAGGGGAGTGCACTATAAGGGCTCATTTGTGCATTTGACAAGATCACGGGCAGGGTAGCCAGTATGTTCCCACAGAATCTGCTGGTCCACTCTCATAAGAATGATGAGTTGAGCAAGTACTCCTTGATGCTTGTCTTAGGGACTAAGCTAATAGCACCTTATAAAATAAGTTCTATTATAATATGTTTTAATTTTATTTTCTTATTTATTGTCAGGGACATACTTGAACTTGCATATATTTTTTTATTATACAAAGTCTGTCCAGAAAAAGTCCAACCATTGTTAATATAGCAAGAATGTTTTGTGTAAAATTGATGTAACCTGGCAGCCAAGGAGAGTGGACTGGAATGTGCATGTGCTAACAATGACGACTTCACTGTATTGGTCAGTGGGGGTGACAGACAACACTGAGTGAGCATGTCTACTGTGTGGCCATCACATTCAGAATGACAGAATGAGTAGAGCAATAAATCTGCATTAACTTTTGCATTAAACTTGAACGTTTCTCCATGGAAACTATTTGAATGATTCAGGAGGCCACAGCTGTGGGCAACGGGTGACTGGCAGCTTTATTATAACATTGCACCCACTCATGCATCATATTTTGTACAGAATTTTTTTGGAAAAACATCGAATCACCCAGGTGACTTAGCCCCTTGACAACCCAGATTTGGCACCCTGCTACCTCTGGCTTTTCCCAAAATTAAAATCACCCTTGAACAGGAAGAGATTTCAGACCATCAGTGAGATTCAGGAGAATATGACAGGCCAGCTGATGGTGATTGGGAGAACTGTGTGAGGTCCCAAGGTGCCTACTTAGAAGGGGACTGAGGGATCATTGTCCCATGTACAATGTTTCTTGTATCTTGTATCTTCTTCAATAAATATCTTCTCTATTTGTCATAGTACCTGGCTGCGTGCTTTCTGGAAACAGACCTTGTATACACTTTTAATGAAGTTCAAATTAAGTTTTGCTATTTTAAAATTAAGTTTTGCTATTTCCCACATCTGGGAAAGGTAGAATTTAAAAATTGAGAGGATAAAGAGCCCCAGCTGAGTAGCTCAGCTGGTTAGAGCATCATCCTGACATGCCAAGGTTGTGGGGTTGATCCCAGGTCAGGGCACATACAAGAATCCACCAGTGATTGTATAAACAAGTGGAACAAGTTGATGTTTCTCTCCCCGCCTCTTCCCTTCCTTCCTTGCTCTTTCTCTAAAATCAATAAATAAAAAGTAAAAAAAAATTTTGAGAGGATAAAAAGATTTCAGAGCCCCCAACAGATCTAATTCATATGAGATAGTGGTGAATTCTAGTTTCAAAGTGATTGATTGTGGTCATTGAATATTGGAGTGCTTTAAATAACATGCAGCTATTTGCATGTGGCTGCCAACTGAGCTGGAAATGTGGCTACAATATCTGCTTCCAGGTATTGACTCTGTTGTAAAGATTCAAGCAAATTTTAAACCACATTAGAAATCAGGATCCTTTTATTTGGAGTCAGGGAGTAACTCACTCCAGAACATTTCCCCTCATGTTTTCCCAGGTGGCAAGCCACAGTGATAGAAGCCCTCTGCACATGTGTTGGAATTGTCCATTCAGCACACTGGGAGATTTATATACCAGCACCGTCCAATGTCTACTTCAATAGCCAGGTTCATTTTTCATTTCAGGCTTATGTGAGAGGACTCTTCAAAGTCTACTTAAAAGATTCGGCAAGGCCATAAAATGGAATTCTAACAAGTTGCTTTGTGAACTACACTTCCAGTGTTAGCCCTACTGCCAATTATTTCTTCAATGGCTTTATTCATCCTAAAACTACAGTTCCTTACTTTCTCATAAAAGTGAGATGACCCTGACTTTTTGGAGAGCAAAGCCTGCTATTAGGGTTTCCTAGTACGTCCCAGCTGAGGAGGCAGAATGACAGATGATAAATGTTTATGTTTCAGAGAAAGGAGTGGGGAGTAATAACACATAAAAGGAAAGCTCAATTCTATGGAGAGAATGAAATAAGAGAGTTAGTGTGTATTGAATGCTTACATGTCTTAACTCATTTAACCTTCCCAATCATGTGATGAATCATACACTATTATTTATGAAAATTTATTCATGATAAAAGAGATGCAGGGAGAGAGGTCAAATAACTTTTACCCAATGCAATCAGCCATTACTTTCTTTCCAAGGAAAGACCTGGTGTCAAACTTGCATGATAACCATGATGTGAAAAAGAAGAAAAGAAGAATTATAATTTCGATGTCTGGATATATTTTGCTTGCTTGTTTGTTTTGTTGACAGTAACCAAAGGGGAGGGGGGAGGGAAATAATGGGGGAAAGAAGGGAAAGGGTCATCAAAGAACATGTATAAAGGACCCATGGACAAAACCAAAGACTGGGGGTGGGAGGTGGGGGTGGATGGGGCAGGGGAGAGTGGTTGTGGGAAAACGGAGACAACTGTATTTGAACATTAAAATTAAGAAATGATAAAAAATAAAATAATAATAATTTGTCAAGGCCCTTCTGGTCAGCACAGATTCTGCATGGCGAAGGGACAGGTGAAAGGAAACATGTGGACCTCCTCCCAAATGAAATGATGTTCTCAGAGTTAAAAAAAATCAAAGTGCTAAGGCTCATGCTTCTTTGTCCTTTCACCAGTACAGCTTAGTAGTCTTTTAAATGTTGATTTAACTAGATAAGATATTCTTGGAACTACCGAGCATTTTCTACATTACATCCAGAAGGGTAAAACTATGAGAGGAGGAGGCATAACAAGGCCAAAGATGCTATTCAGAGCAAAACATCTGGGTTTGTCAGTTTTATATCCTCAGGCTCAAATTCTATATTCCGATTTGCACAGCTCCTAGGAAAGAATTTGGACTAATGGAATCGAGTCACACTATGAAAGCGTAGAAGGATACAAGAAAGAAGGCGGTGGACAACTAAAATCACTCAACCATTTAGAAAAACACAAGCTCCCTACCTCCATACTTAAAATGCATGCCATAAACACACTCTGTGAAAACTCTAATATAAAAACCAATTAAGAAATGCCCTTTCCCTCCACAATTTTTATACCGACTTACCTCTCTTATCATCAAAGTTCCCTCTCTTGAAATACTGCCACTGAACGCATCTGCGTGAGAGGTCTCCAGCCCGTGCGTGCCGACCATTCCCACGTTGTACTGCTCCGTGCCCCCGGGAGCGCCTGTTGGTCTGAGATGGAAAAGGACAATATTCACGATTATGCATGTTGAGGGAACGCGGTTTCTTGTCCATGTTCATTTTTTATTGTGGTACAACATACATAACATAACATTTACCATTTTAACCATTTTTCAGTATCCAGTCTACTGGCCTTCCGTACATTCCACATTCATTGTTAACATTGCACTGATGCTTGAACTGGTGTCCCACTTTGTCAACATGCCGCACCTCTCCTGCTTTCCGCCCAGCAGTCAGAGTGAGGGCCTGGGCTCTGCACCATCTCCCCGCCCTCCCTGCCCCTTCTGTGACCAGCAGGTGCCCTGGCTTGTGTTTCTGCACATGCAGTTCTCTCTGCCTGGAAGGCTTTCTCCCACCCTGGCTCTTGGCTCTCATGTATCTGATTTCACCTTAAATGATACTTAGCCTGAGAAGCCTTTATCACTGTCTGCCTATGTCTTCTCCCACTGGACCCTCTCCTTTCTCTAACCTTCTTCTGTAATGCTTATCACAATTGGTAGTTCTGTATTTTTTTTGACTCTCTTTTAATGTTCTCCTTGTCTCTCACTACGATGTACAGTCACGAGAAGAGTCCTTGTCCCTTTGCTCAGCCCTGTACACTCAGCAGTTTAGCACAGAGTAGAAGTGCAAAAATCACTTGTTTGAACAGAGTTTTACACTAGTTCTAAAGAGGAAATAGCAATTAAGGGCATCCATCAATGAGGCTGTTGAACTGTCTTCAGTTCTTTCTTAAAGCTCTGTAATCAAACCACACTGTGGCATATTTGTTTCCAGTGTGTTTCTTGCTCTCGTGTTTAATGTATAATGGAGAAGGTGACAGGAGCTTGACATTGGCCCCGACAGTGGAGGCTGACGTTTTCTGTGTGTCCTGCGGTCCGGGGAAGCAGCACGCGGCAGGCGGCGCGGCTCACCCGTGGGCAGGTTTCTGTTTTCAGCGCTGCACGCTGCCATCCTGCTTCTACCGCTGCCTCTCTTTGGAAGAGGGTTTTTTTTAAATAGGAAAGGTATCAACGTTTGTTTCTCTCTTGGGGTGTATTAACTATAACTTTTTACCACTTTGTTCTTTTAATTGTTTCTTAAACATTTTAGAAACAACTCTGGTTACCTGGATACTATCAAAGTCCAAGTACTTGATGAAAGTCAATCCAAGAAGCAAGAAACACTTCAGACTTACGATGTCTCTGGGACAGAGATTACATCTGTCAGGGATTTTTATCCAAAACAAAGATGAAAAGATGAGTCCAGACCAAAATAAAATGTGTAGCAAGACACTTACTTCACAATGACTATATTAGAGCAGTGAATTAAGTGATTAAAATTGGGTTAGAACCAATAAGTTTGGGAAGAAGTTCCAAAGAAGCACTTTTCAATATTACATTCCCAGAAAGGAGGTATTAACAGCATTTCAGAGACATGGGAGAAGAAATTGCTGCAATGAATTCCTGACCTATTACTACATCAGTAAATCAGACTAGTTCTCAAAACTGGGATGGCTTCACCCATGTATTCAAAATTTTGTGTTGTGTTTTTTTTCATTGACTTACATTCTTATTTGGGGCAAGATGGTGTGGAAAAAAGAAATAAAAAAACAAAGGAGTTTCTCAAGAGCTACGGCCTCCTTGGAGGGAGCCACTTTTCCCCGTCACATGGGCATTCTCGGCCACCTTCGGAGACCGGATTGCCAGTGGCCACCTCTGTGTAATGAGCTGTCTTTCACTAGTAAAGAGTCCCCTGGGAGTTCAAAGATCAAAGGTATTTTGGCTCCACTTGTTGTTTTATCCTGACAATATTGTGATTCTACCCAAACATTTTTATTAGAAATATATCAATAGGGATGAATTTTCATAAAAAGTATTTTCTAAATCTGATTCCATGGAGACAATTTCTTGATTAATTTTTCCACATATCTCAGTCAAACTCCTCTCCCAATTTTTGCATTTTCAGGATTATTTTACTGAAATTATCACCAGTGGTCCTGATTATTTTCTATATAAGTTTTCTAATACAGATTTGATACACCAATTCGTGATGTTTCCATCCACGTCACCCACCAGGGCCTCTGTCTTCTGTGGTCACTACTTCTACCAAGTGCAATGTTTCCCGGGTCTGTTTCAAAGGTGTACATTTTATTAAGAAGATTTGTCCATTTTTAATCAACAGTAAGTTTTATAGTTTTATAGTGTGAGCCACTGCCAGTTTCACCTCTTGCTGAATGTTTTTACTGAGATTATTTTTTTGCTGGGTCAGTTTTTATATCAATGTTATGAGTCAGAACTACTTCATCTAGGATAAGTTTTTATAGTGAGGAGCTTGGGCCATTTTGAGGTTTTTAAAAATGTTATTTCTACTAATAATACTCCTTGTAAATTGAGTAAAAGATAATCTGTATTTCTTCTGTAGTAAATTTTCCTCTAAAATGGTGGGCAAATTCTCTTCAATAGTTTAAGGTTGTTCTATGTGTAGGTCTGGTATGTTGCATTGTGAATACTTTGTACATGTTTGTTATTCTGTGTATCTCATATTAATTGCTCGGACCATTAATTTTTTTGGTTATTATGTAGTATGATGTAAATCAGTTTCTTTTGGTTATGGAAAAGTCCCATCAATTTCTGCATGTTCCAAATCGCTTCTCTCTGTTTCATTTTAAAAGGCTAAATGAAGGCCACAGTTCATGTTTCGGGGAGTGCAGAACATTTTTAAATCATGGAAGAGGACTTCTTGCTGTACCTGTCACTGATCACTCCCCTCTGTCCCTGTTACTCTCCTGGCTTTCAAGAGACAAATTTTCTTTGAATATCCTTTAACCTCTCTTTCCCTGTATGTTTCTTTGATGGCTTAGAGCTTGGTGCTCTGACATGTCAATCTTTTTTTTTTTTTAATATGTTATTTATTTATTTTCAGAGAGAGGGGAAGGGAAGGAGAAAGAGAGGGAGAGAAACATCAATGTGTGGTTGCCTCTCATGTGTCCCCCACTGGGAACTGGCCTGCAATCCAGGCATGTGCCCTGACTGGGAATCGAACCACGATCGCATGGTTCACAGGCCCGCGTTCAATCCACTGAGCTACACCAGCCAGGGCTGACATGTCAATCTTTATCAGCTCTTTGGACATTCATTTATTCATTCATTCACATACTTGTTAAAAGTTGATTGTCTGATACACATTGTGTTAGATACTAGAAAAAATATTTAAAAAGTAAGACACAATTCTCAAGTTCTAGAGGATTGTAATCTCATGGAGGTTGAGGGACTAACAAGGGACACAAAGTGATGGGCAGACAAAATAATTGCTCAGCAATATGGCATTTCTAATTTAGTGACAAAGCTAAATAGAAGAGCAGAGGGACAATGTTAACTGGAAATTATTTCTTCTTCTTCTCCTCCTTCCTGTGTTTTCACAATCCTTCCCTCTGTGCTGCCTCTTTCTTTGGACCAACAAACATTGTAAGATCTCTCCTCTCTCTCATTTTGTTAAATCGTTTTCCTTGCTTGACCTTAACCTGAACTTATCATTTACACTTACATTTCTCTCTCTTTTTGTTTTAGAAAGAAACAATGTAAATTTTTAAATAAAAACAATCCCATAGCATATACTGTCAGCTGGTAATAAATAAGGATAATCAAAGCAATATGAAGAAATCTTTAAGGACTATTCCCAACAAAGAACACCTAAAAAACACAAACTGTATTTCTTCTTAACAATTTCTCAGTTCATTAGTCACTTGTAGTTGGAGACGCTTTGGAGCAGAGCAACATTGTTTCCTTTTAGTGTGATCCAACCTAGTCGTTTTCTTGACTTTCTTTTAGAGGGAATCTCTTGTGCACCATCTACTGTGAGGTTCATGTACTCCGCAAAACCAGAGATGCAGCCCTCTAGCTGCATATCCACTTGCTCAGAAAGCCACTCCTGAATCTGAGATCTACTTTGCAAGTATCTGAAATGACGCTGATGGCCACACAATCACTGTCTGCACTTTTTGGCCCTGGCCATGGTACACCATGGTGGAAGATGACAACGACCACACTAAGCCATGCGCTACCTCCAAAAGCTACTTCTACAATAAAGAACTGGAAGCAGACGTCTAAATATCTCTCTTTTCTTAAAGTTCTTCTTGTGAACTATGATTCAGTCCTCAGATGGTTGCTTTCTATACTCAACTTCACACACCTCAGGAAATGCTTTAAGTCATTTCTTAGCTCAAAAATTCGATGATTACTCTTTGATTCTTGTGGTGTTTGGCCTCTTGCCTGTGTCTGTGATCACTAATCACCCCACTCCATCCTTCTCTCTTCTCTAGCTCTTAAGATGCAACTTTTCTCTGGTTTTCCTCTTAATCTTCATTCCCTATCTGTTTTCTACATGGGCTCTTCTTAAATGCTACTGGTACCCAGGATTCTACTTCACTATACATAACCTTTGGGAATGCCCTTATCTACAACCACTTACAATCATCACCTGTGTGTGGAATAACCCTAAATTAATATATCCAATGTCGTTACTCAGAAACTCATTTACTCAACTTCCTGTTGGATATTTGCACTTAGGTGTCTGAAGCTTTTTCCAACTCCATCTAGGTGTGTGTAAGTGCACTGTATGAAGTTTACACAATGAAATCTCCTAATGCTGCATTTCCCCAGTGCATGACTATGTACAGAGATACTGATAGATATGTGTGTACATGGTAATATGCACACATACATATCCTTGCTCTGTCAGTTGAGGGAGCCTAAAATAAGTGATATTCCAGTAGCAATGAGCACACCTAGTGCCCAAGTCTTGGTTTCTAATATTGTTTTTAATCAAAGAAATCAGGACTCCTTGGAGAAATAGTTGAAATCAGGATTGGAAGAGGAACTACAGAAGATGAGCCTAGAAAATCTTATGTGTCTGGAACTAAGAAAGTGCTTGATGGGGGATGTCAGTCAACGGTACGCAAGAGCTTCCCGTGGTCACAGCTGGAACCATTTGGGCCACAAAATAAAGAAGGTTTGAGTCATAATCCAAAGTATAAAATAAATATCCATGAGTCTATATTGATATAAATGATCAAATAAATTAATAAATGGAAGGAAGAAACCAATCTCCTGTGCAAAAGAATTTCAAATATATTATGGCAGATACTCCACTCTAAAAGAGGGAGAACATGACTGCTCCTTATGTGCAGCTGTGCACATGGCTCCTTGCAAAGAGTGCAGTAAGGAAAGGAGGGGAGAGTCACTTCATGCTGGAGAAACCTGACAGTCACTACATCAGTCTGATGATCAAGGTCAATGTCAACAGTCATAAGTCACCCTTGACATGATGTGATAAAGATGACATGTTATCTGTTACCTTCCTCCTCTAAACAACAGCCTTAGCCTAATCATGAAATTGACATCAGACTAATTCCAATAAAGGAGCATTCTATAATATACCTAATAAGCACTCCTCAAAACTGCCAAGTTCACAAGTAATAGGGAAAGTGTAAGAAACTGTCATAGCCAAGAGCAGTCCAAGGAGACATGGCTGCTAAATCACTAAAGAAAATGTGGTATCCTGAATGGGATCCTGGAACAGGAAAAGGTAATTAGGTAAAAAAGTAAAGAAATCTGTATATGGACTTCAGTTATTGTATCAATATTAGTTCCTTAATTGTAACATACGTACCATATACTGTAACACCATCGGGAAACTGTGTACAGGGGGCAGGGGGAGTAACATGGGAATTCTCTGTACTATCTGCTCTATTGTTCTGTAAATCTAAAACTTTTAAAAGAACTTATTAATAATAAAAGAATTTCTAAAAGGCAATAATTAAAAATACTAAGGCTAAAACAACTATAACATTTTATAGTTAAATAATCCTTTGTTGCACAATTATTTTTCTGATACAGAGTCTGGATAGGAAATGCTGATTGTCAAATTTCTATAAAGACTGTAAAAAACAAAACACCTCCACTGATTAGAAGTGAACTATAGGAAATTTACTATAGTAATTAGGCCACAGGTTTGAAACAATACTTTCCTCTAATTGGATTAGTCAAAGTGTTCCTGCAAGTATTGATTTAATGCAATTCAATACACATTTACTGAACACCTGCTACATGAAAGGCCCTTGGCTTGGCAGTAGGTAGTAAATAAAAAAGCAGAGGAAAACATGAATTCTGAAACTCAGAGGTTAGCATCCAGATAAGTGTTAAAACAGCACAAATATTCAAATAAGGCAGGATGTCTGTGAGTGTGGGGGGCAAAGAGAGAGGTCATTTCAGGAAAAGAACCAACACTGGCAGCCTGCCAGGCATTTGGAAGGACTGAGGAGGCTGGCTCAGCTGGAGCACACACTGGGACAATTATGGGCCCCAGGGATGGAAAGGGTTGTAGGGCAGTGGGGATACAGCATGACCTGAGTCCCACTACCACACACTAACAGGGCCGGAACCTGAACAATGGACTGGAGGGCAGAGGCGGCTGCAGGTCTGGGGAGAAATACCATCGTCCCCAAGGCGGACATCAGGGTCAGGACCATGGCTTTCTAGTGAAAATAGAAAGGAAGGAACACAAAGGTATGTGACTTTTGTTGTCCAGGATCCATTTTGTGAGTCTGTACAAAATTCCATGACTATGGTAGCGACAGATATCCCTACTGATCCGGGCTGGGCCTCATATATGTTGTTCTGATATGAAAGCATGACCTTTAACTTGCTTGATATGATGCAAGTCAACTTACACACCTTTCCTTCTATCCTCCTAGTCTATAGAGCTTTTAATGTATCCCCATTATAAAAATAGCGCATGCTCATCATGAAAGTGTTGGATATATAGAAATAAAAAGCCCTTAGAGTTGCATCATCCAGAGGTGACCATTATTATAATTTTGCTCTATTTCCCTCTCCCAACTCATTTTTCTATGTGTGAGTCCCTGGGTACGATTGATAAGTTGGGGGATATAATCTAGTTATGTGTACTCTTATAAGCTATGCCTTGTGCTATAAACATGGAACCAACACTGGACATGGAAAAAGGTGTTGCTCTGCACATCAGAACCTGCCCCTGCTTGTCTGAATAGCTGGGCTCCATTTCTGAGAAGCTATTTCGTATGCTCTGTACGGCAGTGAGCTATGTTGTGATATATTTTTATTTTTTGCTCTAAAAACACACAGTACAAAATGTAAAGGTTTACCTTAACAATAGACAATGAAAGTGATAAGAATGTAAATAAGAAGCACTCTAACTCTAAAACACCTTATTCCTAAAGAAATAATCGTTTTATAATGAATTTTTAATATGTGAACTTAGGCATACAACCATCATGCTGTAGCAGAACAGACTGTATATATTTCAAAGTCACAAAAAATGCGTATTTTTACCAAACTGGAATATACACACATTTGTATTCTACCTTTTCTCTGAGTATGTCTCATTTGCAATTAAATATTTTAAATGTTATTTCATGGATGACCATGTCAATCTGTCTAAAATATTCCAGTTCTTCAAGAGCCATGTCAGGCTGTGCCTCCATTCTAAGCATCAAGGATGGTCCATTTATTGTATCTCAGGAGTGGTGATAGATCCTGTGAATGGCTTTACCAGTCTGTTTTCTTTCCAAATCACCTTGCTGAAATGATTCTCACGCACTGTGTCACTCCGCAGCTCAGGACACCTTCGATGGTTCCCGAAGGGCTGCATGACCAAGTGCACGCTTCTCACTTGGGCTCACTACTCTAGACTTCCCCTCACTCATCCCACATTCCCACCACACTCGACCTTCTGGGCCTTCACTTTCCCCCTTCCCCCCTATCTAATATTACTCCATGTTCTTTTCTGCCTTGGTGACAGTTACACATGTGCATGTCCTTCCTCTGCACCAGGCTCTAAATCCCTTGCAGCCTGGACTTGCAATTTCAGTTTAGCAAAATTAAATGTAAACCAAAGTCACTGAAAGCCAACTCTATTACAGATGCCATGTGAGATGTTTAGAGTAGAGAGATGAGCAAGGCACAGTCCACAGCCTCAGGGATCTCACAGCCCAGAGAGGGAGACAACATGCAACAAATACCCCAATTCGAGGCACTACAGGAATACACTCAAGACGCGGTGGCAGCCCAGAGGGGTGGGCTGCACTCGTGTAGGCCAGGTTGTGCGCAGGTGATTTCTAAAGGGACAGGAGAGCCCCAGACGCTAGAGCAGAAGTGTAGCAAGGCCTATGCAGGCAATTTTAGAAAGGTGGGTGTTTCTGCAGTAGGGGTAAGATGGATTTGCCTTTAGAGGTGGGGGGGGGGTGACACCAATAACAGGCTTGAAAAATTTGGCTTAAAGACCAAATGCAATTGAATATCCCTTCCAAGGCTGTCTTTGGTTATTCTACCAAATATTATTTTCCTCTGAAAATTTCCATGTGTAATTTTGTCTCTTTCCAACTAGAACATAAACTTTTGGAAGGCAGAATTGAGGTATGTGCTTCTTGAATGTGTCAATGCCCTCAGTATGGTGTCTGATACATAGTGAAAGCTTTACCAACTTCTCAAATTCATTATCACCCTCATGTTGATAGTTGTACACTCAGTGCTTAAAATAAATTCAAAACATCTGTTAGGAGAATTAACCAATGCTAAGTCAAGACAAAAACTGAGAGGGCCAGCATATTTTACAGAAATGTCCTAGATTAGTAACTTTGCTGTTTAAAAAAACCAATTTAATAAAATTTGTCTCATAATGTCACATTTTAGCATCTTTATGATTGTTAATAACTGGGTAATCAACACTAAGATAACAAGAACGGACTTTCAGCTGCAGAAGTTGGATTTGCCTCTCAGAATCGCTTGTATGTAGTGATCGTTAATCAATGGGTGACATTTCCTGCAGACTGGCTAGCCCTGTGTCTCCAATCCCTGCTGGAGAGGACAGTCGTCTATGGCCTGAAACAGCATCTTCTCTACAGTAAGTGAGTGGGTATGATGACTAATACAGGCAGCTGAGCAAAAGACATGGCGGTGAATGAGAAGCGAAGTTGGGAAACGTAGCATCATTCTATCAAAGTTACAGAAAACCAGAGCAGCTCCTGTGCTTCTCTGGGGGAGGAAATGAGAAATGTCCATAAATGGGATTGTATGAACATGTTTGTTAGAACTGGAGAAGCAAGTAGAGAGGAGGAGGAATTCTCCCATAAAAATCTAGTCCAATGAGTAAAAGAAAAAGTGAACCTCTCCTTCATCTAGAAAAGTAATGGATATAAATACAATGGGAATTATAGGTAGGTATAAATATTGATATAAATATCCAAAAAGAAGCCTGAAAAAAGACTGACAGAATGTATATGGCAAAGTCATAGGCCGCAAAAATAGGATCACATAAAAGAGACAATAAAGAATATGAAATAAAGACTCACAGGGGACAGATATAAGTCAAACACTCAGAAATCTGCAGGATTGTCTGACTCCTGATTCTTCGTCTGGCATGCTACCCCATACTGCAACACGCACTCCTCCTTATTTAGCTGTGATAGTAGTGATTGTTAATTTTAACCCTGAAATGTTTCAGGTTGTTAACGTTAACCTTGAAATGTCATTGCCCATCATTTCACTCCTTCAGATCTAGGGGACAGGCATGTGTCAAACAGTCTGCCTGTCAACACGGTTTGCCTTGGAAATGACAAGAACCAAGGAAGCATCACCAAAAAGACAATCCAGAAACAGTGCCTGGTTAAAGCACATGCAAACCTAGATATACCATGTATTCTAAGCAACTGTATCTATGGAGAGGGATAGTCATAAAACTATATATGCTCTAAGAAAAATTTGAGTCCCAAAAGTCAATCGATCCTACCAGAGGCTCATAAACAACATAAGCTGTCCTCTTACATCAGTCTGGGTATGTCACTGACAGCCACGGTCCCGTCCTGAGTCTCGCTCTCTCCATCTTCCTCCTCTTCATCACTACTTTCCGACTCCTCACTGGAGGAGGAGTAATCAGTCACTTTCTTCAGTGGGCGGTTTGTCTCTTCAATCCGGAGTTCTCGGAGTTCTTTGGCTAATGCCGTCAGATCCTACAAAAGGAAAGTTTGTTCAGCATCTATGAATTGTAGATAGGACCACAGCGACATTTTTCAGCAAGTCAGTGCTCCAGCATAAGCAACAAGAAAAAAGCTCTATACAGAATTGTTACAAACATAGTTACTGCATGGAATTAAGGAAACAATGTTTGTAGCGTGTAGAAACTAGAAAAGATGAAGTAAATTTAAACTTTGTTCAAAACCAATTGCTAGACTGAGACTGTTCGGTTCTGAATACACATGTGTATATATGTGTATGTGCATTGTATGTGTACACATATATACAAACATTGGGTTCTCGCTTTATTTTGGGAAGGTGCAGTTGGTCACCCTCAGGTTAGTGGGAAAATGCGTGGGATTAGAAATTGCTCCCTGGTATTGTGGGACTCCTGCCAAGCCACAGGCATGGCCTTTCCGCTGTTACGATTGCTACTGTACCAAAATGTAGCATCAGTCACAGAACAGAGCAATTCCCAAGATTCCAGCTCCAACAATGACTCATTTGGGGTGTCATCATTCCCTGGAGAGCAGGGGTATCACATCAAATAATGGCCCACCCAACCCAAGGCCCAGAGCCACTGAAATTTACAGCCACAGAGCTGAGTTAATCAAGAGAAACAAAGAAACAAAAAAAGTTATCTTCCAGAATAATGGGCGTTTCATTTAATTTTGGTTTAAATTTCAGTCATCTGGCAAAAACCCTGGTGAGGACCACTGAAATGAATGTGCAAACACCAATAGGAAGAGATAATTTTTCAGTTTTCCACGAGTATGATGGAACCTTTAGCCTGATGGATGTGATGACGTGGCATTTAATCACCGGGCAGACTGCAGGCAGTGTGCTGAATATCCGACTACCTTTTATTTGACATGCTTTCCGAGCAATGCAGAGGGAAGCATTTTCTGCAAAAGCACGGCCGCTCTAATTTGCATGGGTTCAGCTGCCCATGGCACACAGCATGCAAATGAGGAAAAAGCAATTTGACATCAGTCTTACCATTTCTCCCTATATTAGTGACCCATGTGGGAATCAGAACATTCGGCGAGAGATAGGGGATTAGGGAGAAAGAAACTCATGAAAGATACTAAATCCCAGTTTTCTTATGGCCATATTCTCTCTTTATTTCAACCCAGAAATGGACTTGTCTAATTCACTTGATTTAGGATTATAGCAAATGTAGGTGATCTAAATGACGTTTCATAATTCATACTAACTGGTTAGGAAAAATACGATTAATGCATATGATTAAATTAAAATTTGATTTTGAGAAGACCACAGGTTGTTATGTTTCTTTACCATTAACCTGTATGTCAGGTATTCCTATAATGGTTAAAGCCAGGAGAGGAACTACTTCAGGTATTTTATTTGGTCTAGAATTTAGGAAGTTCAAGGTGTTAAAATGAAGGAGTTATTTCTTTTTAATTTCATAGAAACCAAAGGGAAAGCAATAATGACTTTGAAATTTGTTCTGAAATCACTTGAAGTCCTAGGAAAATAGATAATTTTGAAAATTCAAATTGTACATTTTCCACCCAAACGCGCTCTCAGGGCTTTTACACATGTGCAGATGCACACCCGGCCCCGGTCTTAGTGTGCACCTTTGCTGCACTAATGAAAATGAAAGTAGAACTGACACATATTAAAAAAAAACCCCAAGGGTATTTAAATATAATGTATACCATTGAAGAAGAGAAAAATTACCACATGGAATTTTATTCAAATTTATTTCTGGTTTCTTATCAATGGGCCAAAATAGGAAAAGCTAATATTTGAGTTCCTAATTTTTATTTTTTATTCCCCTCTTGACAATTGTTTATCTTTATCAAATTGAGAGCAAAGTGAAGGGTATGCTAAACTTGAGCACACTGGGAAAATATAGCCTCAATCTTTGTTAAGGTTATGAATGAAAAAAGGTGTTATAATCCTCCAAAGCACTAAAATAACAACCAATTGAATACATTTATATTGTATTCTCCTTCCCCATGTTAGAATCATGTTAAGCCTCATCAAATAATATACCTAGTACTTAAAATGTTACTGGTCATTAAAAATACATTTTATTATGATTTAAAGAGAGAATATGGTTTAAAATAGTTTATTTCTAATGTTAATAGTTTCTAATATTAGCTATGATTTATTTAAATTAATAATACATTTTCCCCATGGGTTGGTTTTCCTATCTCTGATACCTCCGAAGAAGACAAAGGAGATTTAAAAAAATAATTAGAAATATTTAGCTGGTCCAAAGCCCATTGATTTAAAGAAACCCTCACTTCTTAAAATGATCTAAACTCTTCCAAACACTGTATTTAAAGGAATAATTTAAAGTTCTGACCGACTTTATAATTTTGCTTTTAATTAAATTTTTTATTTCTGCATTATTAAAAAGCTATCTTTACTGAAACATTAAAAATAATTGCAAAATTTTTAAGCTTAATTGGTAACAGCCTGGAGGATGAAACATAGATAAAAATCCCTATGGTAACACAAATAAGTAATTCAAAAGTAATCACCCTGGTCTAAAAAAAAAGTAATCTTCCGTTGCCAATAGCCAATGTATTTTGCTGCAGTTTTGCTTCTTATCCACCCACTCTGGAACACTTACAATAGCAGAGTTATAGGAAACAGGCGTGATCTGCCCGTGAGGCCACTGGGTTCAGACCCTCTCTCACACGTGTTCTTCTCTGACAACACCAATTCTCTCCACAGAATGAGTTTCTGTGGTAATTTATTGCTTGACTGTCTCAAGCCTGAAGCTAAAAGGTTTTAAAACAGGGAAAAAGTGCTATTTAGCATAAAAATATCTGAGTGTATTACTATAAAAGAAATATGGTAAAATGATAAGATTTTTTGACTATAAAGTAAATGTGAGGATAGTTAAGAGGCCCTTACTCAACAGTTTCTTTGATGCAACATTTTTTAGGATCAAGTTGATATGATTTTTCATGCCAAAAGACTTATTTAATCTGACAATTATGAATACTTTGCCTAAAAGGATGCTGTTTTAAGAAATAATATGGTTTATTCAAATTTTAGTTCAGTTTTTTAACTATTAAAATGATAAAGATTTTAAAGCTGGTCTTTTCTTTACATATTAATTTTTCTGCCCTTTTTAAGAAGTCTGAAGATACAGCTTGGGGAAGGAACTTCACTTCAGTATTGCCCCCTAGTTTACTGCTCAAGTCTTCCAAACTGGATGTGCCCTGGGATTTTTCAGATTCCTACATACTAATGAAAAAACAGTGGTAAAGCCAGTGTTTGCTTGTGCCACGACACTCATGCCATGTATTTCATTGTGCTAAACTATGAAGAACATTTATTTCCAAAGGTTGTGTGGAACAATCACAGACTATGCTATGCAATCTCATATTCCACCGGAAAGCAAGTGCCAGATTAATGGACACTCCCCCAGATGGATTTTTATGAAAAAATCAAACCATGAATCTAGCAATGAGTTTTGGAAAGAGTTTTATGACTTTTCATTCCAATCGTGGATTATCTAAATGTCAGTTCAGTGACTGGAGAGAATCCTTATCAAAATCGAAATGGAGGTGGGAGGAAAGGTTTAATTCACGGTTTCTCAACTGTGGCACTACTGACATTTGAGGCCGGATCACCCCCTCCGGTTGTTCTCCTGTGCACTGTGGGGTGTTTAGTAGCAGCTCTTGCTCTACCCACAAGACGACAATAGCACTTTTCCCACTTCTGTGCTGTGACAACCAAAACTGCCTCCAGACTTAGCCGAATGTTACCTAAGTGGAGGGAAGGAAAGGAAGGAATTGCCCCTGACTGAGAACCACTGCGTTAGGCAGAACCAAGTAATTCTGCATTGTTAGCAATGGGGATAATGATACTCAGGGGGGAGGGTGGAAGATTTTTTTTTTTAACCACACATGGCCTGAGAGGGTTTTGGTAAATAGCTTCTACCCCTACCCAGTTACTTGTATCTCTGTTGTCCCCTCTCATCTCTGTCCAGTGTGTTAAAGTATAACAAAACACAACAATTTTTAAAATCTTAAAATATCCTGGTTAACCAGATGAAATCTCTGAGAAATCTTTCCAGCATGACAGCCACCTCCATGCCCATTTCTGCACTCATGAGATTTCCCTTGAGTTGTGCACATACACAACCATTTCTTCAAGTCTTTTCCAGGAAGTTGGTAAAACCTGTGATAATCCCTGCCCTGCTCACTAATAGGAGGGAAAGGAGCAAGGCTGCAGCACAGAGCAATTACGTAAGTGCCCCTTTTCTGTTCTCTAAGTGCCATTCACACACTGCAGTCACGTAGTCTCATTCTTTTTTAAACAAGTATCCCTGAACTGTGAAAACTACTTTCAAAACCACTCTGAGTTTTGAGGCAGCCAGAATGCTGAAAAAGTGAGGCTTTGGGGTAAAGATCAGAGGCATAGAAACATGCTTCCCCTACCTGCCAGAACAGCCTATGCCTCTGGCCCAAACCTTAACATGAGAACAACGTCTTGGCTTGGCAAAGCATTTCATACTTCAGAAATGCTCTCACACACATGATCTTGAGTGACCCTAAACAATCCTGTGAGCAAGGCAACACAGGGGTTTTTATTCCCATTTCACAGATGAGAAAACTGTGGCCCAGAGAGTCTGCAGACTGGTGCCAGCCAGTTACTTATTGGGGAAGCCAGAATTTGAATGCAGCTTGTTGAGCCAGTGTTTGTTTTCATATCATTTCACAAAAATGGTGTTCAGCAGAGCTACAGCCTTAAAGCCACAATGGTAGTCGTCAGATTCCATGCAGTTGGGACTCTTTGCAAGACCTGTCTCTTAAAAACAAAAACCAAAAAACAACAAAAAGACACTATGCTGTATTCATGCAGGTCTGACAAACGGCAGTAAGGCAGTCATCCTTCTTAGCAAGCTACTTAAGATCGACAAAGTCATATATTTCTCTAATGGAAAAATGTCTCCATGAATAAGGAAATAAAGTCACTTAACTCGCCAGTATTCATTAACTAAAGTTGATGTTGTTGCTGATGCTGTAGTTAATGTCCCACAAAATTAATCTAACAATACCCAGTAACTCTTTGTTCACAAATCACAGGCTATAAATTTGGAGTGCCCTAGAATGATGTCTCTTTTCTTTGTTAGCAAGACTACCATCCTCTAGCAAGTCTGGCGAGCACAGGTTAAAAAGCTCAGATTTGCTACCGGAAGGTACTAGAATGAGAAACCCTGCCAATAACAAAGCACTGGTGCTTATTTTTGGCCAGACTGGCACATTGGAAAAGTAACATTCTGATCTAGAGAAAGATCTCTGGAGCTTTACTGAGGGTCTGAGGGCCTCAGATGGACTTCTGTCGACAGGGCTCTCCTCCTGAAAGATCACTCCAAATGAGTGAACTTCAAATCTGTGATCCAGTAGGCCACTTTTCTGAATGTCAGTATCAGAAAGCAGTTTTATATTTATATTTTATAAAAGCATGACCAAAGAAAGGTAATACTAACCTCATCTATAGCTTTCTTATAGCTCTGACATAAGAAGAATCCAATCCAGAAGAATCCACAGGAAAGAAAAAGCCAGAAGAAAGGCAGCCAGTTAGACACAAAATGGGAATTGTTAGTACACAATTAGTGAGTGCAAAAGGGCAGAGAACCTCAACCCAGAACAGTGCAAACTCCCTTCATGATTACTCTCATTATACTACTCCTTTACTTTAAAATGTAGTAAACAGAGTTGACCAAGAAGGTATCACATTTATTTCATAGAATAGATTCTCAAAAAATTTAAGTGGATTGTAACTTTTCCCAAAACAATTTCTAGCTTTCAAATTTCAGCCTCTGTGCTCTTCTTTCCTTCTACCCAGGTTCTGTTGAGCCACAGCAGTGCAGCTAGAACTCATGGCACCAGGCCCCCTGGCAGACCATGCTTATCAGGTTTTGGTCCTGAAAATATAGTCCCAGAGGCATGAAAAGCAGCAACAGAAAAATTATAATATTAATTCATATGGAAAATCATATGGAGAAAGGGCAGAATTGACAAAAGAAACCCATAGAAACTGCCCAAATGTCATTAACTACTAATTTCAATATCTTTTTGTCAAAGCAGCTGAGTAAAAATTATGGAATGATATGAGTTATTTGCTAAGATCACCAAATCCCTAAAGGCAGATAAGTAATCCAAGATCGGTTCTTTCCTCATCAGGTATGACTTCGTTCTGGACGCTTCCTTCTTATTAGTCTTCACAATTTTTATTTCATAGTCACGAGTGTATCTCCGACTACTTTATCCTGTGGGTTCTCTGGTAATTGAAAAGTTTAAAACTTTTGGAGGGAAAAGCACTCACAGCTGGTCGACTAGGTCGGGTTATGTCCCTCGATTCCTCTGGTTTCGCCTTGGCAGGCTCATGGGGAAGCACAGGTGATCCTTCTGACTTGCTGTTGGCTGGAGGGACAAGCAGAGGGCCAAGAAAGATAATGGCGGTCAGAAAGCGCTGGCTCAAAGTTCAGGAGTTCTGTGGTGAGTCATTGTTCAGGATTACTCAGCTGACCCATTCACTGAGGTACATCCTCATGCAAACCCATGAACAAAACAGTCAATGTTTAGGCAAATGAAATCAAACAAACACATTTAGGCTTATAACCTAGGAGTCACAAAATTAAGTAAATTTATATTTGAATCAAGGCAACAAAGTGTCCACAGCTGTGGGATGTGCCACTGATGTTAGAAGAATACACACACAGGCAGCCACAGGCCGGCCCACATCCAGGGTCAGGAACAGGGGCATCACATGTCAGATGTCAACCTTTTCCAAATGGACATGCAGTGATTTTTATTTATTTAAAGTCATAAAAAGGCTGAGAAGGTAAATTATGATGTATCTAGTGAAAAGGTTAAGAAAAGTGTGTTAATATTTATCAAATTACACTTTACAAAGTCTTGGTCTTCATTACTTAGAGGCCAAATTATCTTTTGAAGAAGGTTATTGAGAAAGAGTAAATTTAGATTAGCTGGAAACAATGTGTTGTCGTGTCTAATTAGCTGGACATATTAACATTTTCCACTAGCATCCTCATTAATAAAAACCAAACAATGATGAATGACTTGAATTAAATGATTAGAGGCTACTTTTTACCTGTCTAGTAAGAATAACCAGAAGAGTTAAATATATTTTTAAGATCAAAATTTTATTTCTTCTCAAGTATATATGTATTCTACACTGGTCTTTATTGAATTTCACTTTGAAATATAACTGGTACTATGAAGTATGTTCCAAATGCAAAAAAGGGACTAATGGGAAGAGGATACTTGGGGGCACAGGAATCTCTCATCGTGGAAGTGGAAATTCAGAGACTGGTAAGTGACTATATTTTTAAATGGGACCAATATTCTGTGATCTCTCTGGAAAACATTGGTATCTGTGATTAGAAAGAATTTAGTCCGCACCAGATGCCACATAATTGGAAATGGCGGCCCACTCCTGTAAGGATGTTGAAGCTGAGAGCGGTGAAGCATCTTCAGAATCACACAGTGGTGGCCACACCAGGAGCAGATGTCACGCAAGTCAGGAAGTAGCCCGACTCCCTGCCCATGGCTCTCCTCACCCGGCCACGCTGTCAGGGAGAGGTAAAGGGAAGCTTTACCTCGCACTCTGGTCCGTTCGCTGGACCCTGCTTGAGATCCAGGCTGAGAGCCACCTTGGGAGCTGGGCTGGGAACTGGGGGTGCTGGAGCTGGAGGAACTGCCACTGCTGGTCCTCTGCAAGGGGCTCTCTAAGACGGGCTCAGTTCTCCGGAGGTCAGGGTTGCTGCAAGGATGGCAGAGCACAATGACTACACTCTCAAGACCTTGCCCTTGGTAGACATATGCATAGTCTAGTCAGTCCCACCTCAGTGCAAAGGGATAAAGAGAATGCTTATTGACCTTGAACTAAACTGGTCAATGACCATGACTATCATGGAAATGACAGTCATGCCACCCTCTGTGGAGCTCCTGGCCAGATCACTATTTGGAGGGAATCAACTCTTGACTCAACTCTTGGGTCATCACACTTCAAATATTGATATTACATCCGAAATGGTGAAACTTCAAAGGAGGCTTTCTTTTAAACCATTTACCCTGTGTTCACTATAAAAAACTTGAAAAATATTCAAAGATAAAAATAAGGAAGCAACACATGCAATCTCTAAACTAAGAGATATTTAACTACATTTTAATTTTGCTATATCATCTTCCAGTCTTTTTTCTTTTGTGTATATGGAAATATACTGTATATTCCGTTTCACAGCTTGCTTTTCCCCCCTCAACACTGCATTGTGAGTAGCTTCTTATGATTCTAAAAACAATATGAGATATCACTTCACACTCATCAGAATGGCTGTCATCAATACATCAACAAACAACAAGTGCTGGTGAGGCTGTGGAGAGCAGGGAACACTTCTGTGCTGCTGGTGGGAATGCAGATTGCTGCGGCCACTGTGGAAAGCAGTAAGCAGATACCTCAAAAAATTAAAAATGGATCTGCCTTTTGACCTAAAATTCCTGATAATATATCAGAAGGAACCCAAAACACTAATTCAAAAGAACATAAACACCCCTTTGTTCATTGCCTTCACCAAGATATGGAAGCAGCCCCAGTGTCCATCAACAGATGAGTGGATAAAACAACGATGGGACATTTATATGGTGGAATTCTACTCAGCATAAAAAAAGACGAAATTTTTTACCCTTTGCAACAGTATGGATGGACATGGAAAACCTTATGCTAAGTGATGTAAGCCAGTGAAAGAAAGACAAATACCATATGATTTCACTCATTTGGGGAATCTAATGAACAAACTGAGCTAACAAGCAAAATAGAGACAGACTCATAGATAGAGAGCAGGAGGCAGCTAAGGAGGGGGGAAGGTAGGGGGTGAAGGGATTGAACAAACAGGTGAAAGGGCTCATGGACATGGCAACAGTGCGGTGGTTATGAGGGGAGGAGGGGTATGTCAATGTACACAGGTATTAGCAGTCTTCACAGCAGTGTACCTGATGGTCCATGTGGACCAGAATTCTCACCACATGCTTTATTATCAGCAGTTTGGTAATTTTAAAGAAATTTTGTATCCTGTTGTTTTCATGCAGTTTAAAATGTTACACTGAGACACATGAATTTTTACTCACATTTGCTTGCCATTTATAATTCCTCTTCGGTGAATTGCCTAATCAGTTCCTTTGCTTGTATAGCTAGTGGTGTATCTGCATTTTTTAATTTCTTGGAGGAAGCCTTTATACACTTTGGCTATTATCAAAGGGAGGTGTGTTTTCAAATAATGATTATTAAGTGCTAACTCAAGAACAAATTAGCTTCCTGGTAGGCTACTAGCCCTATTTTTTAATAAAATCATTTGGTATTATTTGTCTTCGTATCATTCCTGCTCCCCAAATCAGAGTATGTATCCACTCACTGTCAGTTTTCACTAGGCACTGGGCCAGGCATTTGAGATATGATCGTGAACAAGACATAGCCACGCCCTCTGCCAGCTTAGCTGGACACACAGAGACACCTGCATTCACGTGTTGCCTGTCGTGAGCACAGGGCAATATGGGAGCACCTCCTGGACCACCTGCAGGGACTGTGGAAGCCTCGCCAGAAGAGGAGACATCTATGCAGTGGTGGTGGGAGGCTACTGCTGAGGTTTTTAGGGCTTCAATATAAAAATAAGCAGCATTCTCCAGGTTTCTACAAAGCTCTTCCATTGTAATTTACAACTCACAGACTTTTCATTTTTTTCTTAACATAATGTTGGGCATAGATAATGCAGTGACCCGTGACTCAAAGCTCAACTCTACTGTCATCCCACTGCCGAAAAGAATCATGTCATATCAACCCCTTTCATGTTCCCAATGTCCTCAGTTCTGCAAACACTTCCATCTCTGCTAAAAGTGCAGATTTTAATGCCGTGAGACATCATGCTATAATGTAATTTTATGCTTTTATTTTGCTCTGCACATTTCAAGAGTTTATTGAGTGCGTACTGGGAATTCTGTCCTATGTTGCATCTTGAATGTTTTACACGTAAATATGAAAATAATATGACATACTTGCAGTTTAGTCTACCAAAAACCTCTGTGACACACTTGCACTTTAGTCTGCCAAAAACCTCTGACACACTTGCACTTTAGTCTACCAAAAACCTCTCTGACACACTTGCAGTTTAGTCTGCCAAAAACCTGGCCACGAAATGGCGTCCTGATAGCAGCAACTAAACCAAATAATGTCTTTTTGAAAACATAAGAAACTTGCTTTGTGGTAACATACCTGCCAAACAATTTCATTGTTATAAAGATTCTTAAATATTGGGTTATTGGAAAACATGGCTGGAGGCCCTGGGAAACACTATATGTAAAAAATATATAGTATTTATATTTAATCACATAAATGTAAAATTGATGACGAATTTGTCTTTATAAGTTATTATAGTAAAGGGGCTGCTAAGCTGGCATAACAGCAGAATTGACCACAAATGTGATCGAGGGCAAACTTTACAAATTCTCAATGTTTGTATGGCTCTCCTTTATGTAGTAACTCTTTTGTAAAAACTGTTAGAATTTAATTGACTAAATTAGGTTTAGATCCATACTGGAAAGACTCTTGATTTGGAGAATACATAAAATGTGAAATGTATAATATTTCTGAAATATCCTACATTTCAATGTTTTCATTTTTCATAAAGAGACAATTCCATCTTCTTTAATTTCCAAATAATAAATTCTTCCTATTGTCTTCTTTTATTAAACAGCAGTGATAAGGAAGTATTTATGTATTATTAATACAGTACAAAATATTTTTTCTAAAAATTATATTGCTAACCAGCTGTATTGCAGATTAAAGGGGATGGTCATACTCAGGTTTCTGGGTAGTTACTCTCATTCTGGGCAGTGGTAATGTAGTGTTCTTCGTATAAAAAACCAATCTATTGACAGAAGTGTGGCTGTAAGCTCTGAGTTTTTCCCCTGGTGCGTGGGAGTAGGATCCAGCCATTAGCTCTCACGTAGCACTTCTTTGATCTTTTACCCCAAACCTTTTACTGAGCCCCTACTTAATGAGTTCTCACTCACTGGACCACTGTGAGGGATGGAGGGGAGCAGAGGTCACAGGACAGATAGTCAAGTTATAACACAATCCTAGAGATGAGTATGTGCTGTGGAAATAAGAGAACAAGGCAAAACTCTGTGTGCTGCGTGCGAAAGTCTTTAAATATTGTTGGAGTTTGGGAACAATGTATGCAGCTTAGAACAGGCAAGGTGGTATCAGGAAGGAGACAGGACTTGACTGGGCCTTGGAGGGCTGAGCAGGAAGGCTGGGGGAACAGCCTGAGCAAAGACCCAGGGGCTGGGGTTTTCCTTGAGCTTATTGGTCTAGAGGGGACACCAGACTGATGAAATACCCCGGGGCAGTGGGTCATCAGAAAACATGGGTGGCCGATGCAGCAATGGCCTATAAAGCCTGGCAGAGGACATGGGTCTCCCAGGGTAGGCTTCCAGATGTAAAGAGTTGCAGGCTGACCGGCAGGATGATGCTGTCATGTCTGATGATAAGGCCTGAGTCAGCGTTGTCCCAGCATAAAGAGGGGCACAGATATTAGCAGAACCAGCTGGGGTGGGCATGTGTCTCTGAAAGGACCCAGAGGCGGTTTCTCCGTGAGGCCTAATTGGTTCCCAGGGGCATTAAGTCCCTGACCTGGGTCTCATTAGCACAAGCCCTCCCCACTGGAGCCAGCCCGCTCGGAGCTGACCTTAACAGTGCTGCTATTTTTGCTGCTGAAGAACGAAAGAAGTACTTCCTTTCTCAGTAACCACACACAGAAATAGGAAAAAAACTGCAAAATGCCTTTTCTGTCTTATTTTTTGGTAAAGTATGAGTATTTTGGGAAAAAAAAGCCACACTGTTCATATTTTTCTCTTCCTTATTATGTAGTACTAGATGGTCTGGCCTGAGAGGCGATCAGTTTCAGAAGAGTTCCATGAAATAACAGATTTCCCTTGTTCACTGAGGAACTGAGCCAACTCAGATCCAAACATGTAAAAACTTGATAACGGTCACATAGCTTGCTTTAAATGCCGACTTTGAGTTCAGACACTTGCCATCCCACAGATGGTGCTGCTTTGTCTATAAAATATGTGGGAAAATGAAAAATGTGGCAATTGTTCCATTTACTTCACTCATATAAAAAGTCAAAACATAAAATTAGGATTACAAAGTGGGCCAAATCTATAATTAACTGGCGGACTGCCAAAATGCACTTTGCTTTGTTCTTTGATGACGCAGCCAATGAGGACAAAGGAGTTGTAAGAAGGCAGGATAGGACAGAGAATTATTTTTTGAAATTAAGCATTTAGTTAGTGGTTTTTGACTGGGAGTTTCAGGCTTAATTTAAATCTTTTTATATTGAGAATGTACTTGCTTAATCAAATTTGAATTTTCTTTAAGAGAACACATGAGTCAAGCAAGGTTAAATATTAAAGTGCCCGGAATTTTTTTAAACAGCATTTAAAAAAATGACCAACTCAAATCCTGATTTAGGTTTAATTCATCACCTCCACAACATAAGGCATTTGGGACCCCATAGGGCCACTGAGAGCTGCCCTTTGAACTTGCAGGCTGAGCGAGGCCCAGCTGCAGGCACTCGAGAAGGAAGGGCAGGGAGTCACGGTGGCGGTGTTTTTGCCCAGACTTCAGCCATCTAGGAAGGGCGCAGATAAAGTACTTGATGATACTAGTTCCATTTCCCAGCTAGTGCAGGGAAATGATGGCGGTATAAATAGGCCTCACGGGACGACAGCCTTTAAAAGGTGGTGAATGAATATTGCAAGATGAGGATCAATAACCATAAGGTTCAGATGAGCTGTTAACAGAATCACAAAATCACATAACGAGTAAGGTGGAGGCCAAATGGTGCCGTGTCAGTCACCAGGCAATGACCAATGACCCCCTTTGTCTTGGGAAAACAAGGCAGCAGTGACAGCCACACTGCTGACGGGTTAGCACAGCGTGCTGCTCAGGGGTGAGGCCCCTGGTGCAAAACTACCAGGTCTCAAGCATTGGCTCTATCTCTAATTTTGTCACCTTGGGTAGTTTACTTGTGTTCATCTCTGTTTCTGCATCTATAAAATGGAGTTGATTCGAGTCCCCATGTCCAAGAGCGGCCACGCAGTTTAAATTAGCTAACATCTGTAATGCACACCAACACTGAATGGTACTCTGCATGTGTAGATGTTCCAGAATGTTTCATGAGTAAAGGCATAAATATTAAGTCACTCCACACCAAGCAGAAGGCAGTGGTCCACAGGGGCAGCCCCAGGACATTTTCTTGACCAACTGATGCCAGCACTGCTGTACCTCTTCTGCACTGTATCTACTTAAAAATGTGTCTTCTCTAGGGCTCTTTTTAATTTGGTGTGGCATGTGCAGATGGTGGAAGAGTGGCATAGCAGGCAGGTTTGTTTCCTTTTCCAGGAGAAGGAAGGCTACTGAAACAGTAAAGGTTTGATTTTTTCTCATGTTACAGGTACATGCATGCTTATATATGCCCATTTTAACTCGAGAGTCTTTGATTTAGGACACTAAGTAGTTTACTGATTAAAACATTGTTTACAAAGTTATCAAAAAATGTCACTCCTTCTGCAGTTGCTGTCTAAGGTCTTGTACCTCACAGCTGGAGGTCATTTGTGCTGAATTCAGGAAGCAAAAACTGAACTTATTAGGTTCTGCCTCTTTTTCTTTACTGGTTTAACACAAAAGTGTTTTATTTCTCCATCATGTTACAATATATGCAGGTAGAACTACTCTCCTTTTGGCTCTTCTCCACATGGTGATCCGGAGATTCAGGAAATAGAATCTGGCCCCTAGTAATACCTGTAGCTTCAAAGAGCAGCAGGTATATTCTATCCTCTGACCCATATGTCCCAGAGTCAGGCAGCCTGGGTTGAGTCACTAGGTTGGTCCCAAGGTAACATAATGCCTTGTGCATAGGGGGTTTTCAATACACACTGGCTGAATTTAGCAAATGAAATAAAAATGATTAACAAAACATCTCAAACCTGTCCCTTATTATATATGTAATCTTTCCTGGGATCCACTCTAAATGTGTTAGTTTTCTAGTTTCCCTTGAGAGTCATTTCAAGAAAAAGCCTGGGAGGACAAAAAGGAATATTGACCAAGTGCAAAATGAGTAGCTTAGAAGCATAAAGGATGAATTATTTAAAAGCTACCTTTTTTATGGCTTTATGGTTGGGCATCTGTCTGACAAGCTCATTCAGACCATTATGATGTAGAAGGGTCTCTGTATTTTAGTAATGGCTCCAGTGACCACACCTCCTGGTGTCCATGACCTTTATATATCGACCTAGGGCTTGACCACATGACCTGTGCAGGCCAATGGGACATCAGCAGAGATGATGCAAGCAAAGTCTCCAAATGCACTTGTGCACTGGGGCCTTCCTTCTTGGACTGAGATGTGCAAACAGTAAAGAGGCCCGGGATGAAAGATCACGTGCAGGCACAGCTGACCCAGCAGCTCAGTGCAGCTGCACGAGTGAGCTCAAGTGAGACCAACAGAACTGCTTAGCAAACCCATAAAACCAGGAGAAATAATGAATTGTTATTATTTCAGGCCACTAAGTTTAAGGGTGCTTCGTTATGCAGCAAAGATGAATTAAAAGCTATTTCTATCACAATAAACTAAATCCCTAAGTTTTTAAAAATGCAATCTAATCCAAAGTTGCAAAGTCTGATTCAGATCTTAAGTGTTGGTCACTTGGAGACATGTGATAGCTAGAAACAGGTGTGTTAGTAGGACTGTTCCATGTGGCAAGAGATGGGGATTCTCCATCCTCCACATCTTCAGTATTATCTCTTAGCTCACTCTGTCCCCACCTCCTCCAAGGAGGTAAGCAGAAAAATGTTAGCTACCTCATAAAGTCTGCATTCTTTGCGCAAAGTACAATATTGAAGTGATTTTGAGGGAAAAGTGCATGTTTAGCAAGCCACTGAGTAACAAACATCAACTATCTTAGGCCCTGACATCACTAAAATAACACTTCAAGAGGAACAAAGAGCTGCTTCTAATTTGACTACATAATAATAGTTCTCTGTCTTTTTGGTTGATAGAAGGAAAAGACAGAAAGTTGAGTTGAAATGATGCTTGATCTATAGCAACTAAAATTCTAAGCAATTGATTCAGGGAACGGAGCCTCAGGGCAGAGTTCAAAGGAGAAACAGCAGTGATAATTGGGGCCTCCAGCTGCTGAATAGGGCAACTGTAAATCTCAGGCTGGCTCTCTGGTCACAGGACAGCTCAGTCTTCCTCAGGCGGCTTACAGCAACACCAGCTCACCCTGAATCTGACGAGCTGCTGGACAATAATGGCCCATTCAGAGCTTCCTGCGATTGGTAACTCCACTCGGAATGGGTTAACTTCTTTGCCCTAAAGGGATTCACATTCTCTGTCAGGTTTCATCTTATTTATGGATTGACCCCTTCTTAAGGCTTGTCATGTGAAGAGGAAAATGAGAGCTTTATGATCGAAAGCATTCCATGTTTTAAAGATATGTACAAATAATCATCTAGTCTCTCTCAGTAGCAAGGGGCAGTCCTCGCTTATTATGAACACAACGAAGAAGAAGAAAACAGGCTGTCCAAGCTCATTCTATTTATAGTCTCAGCAGAGGCCATTTGCTATTTCAGTGGGTTCTAAAAAGGGGTGTATCTGTCATGAAAAATCTGAAGGAGGCTGAGGAACTAGAGCAGCCAACAGCATCTGTTACCACATGGAATCTGCTCAGATACTGTTAAGATATTATTTACTTTCCAGTTTCCCTGAGACCTCTACACCAATCAGGAGTGGATGCAACTTCCGGACTGCAGGATTATACATCACAATGGAAAATTCTCGGAGAGCACAGACTACCAGTGGGGGCGTAACCGTACTTCCGTGACCCTCCATAGTGCCAAAGAGGGGGTTCTTCATGAGAGCTAATCCTACTATAATTTGCCATGTTTAGGGAAGCTCTGCAGTTGGTCGCTACAGCATTTCTTTGGCAATTACTTTCCTATGTGTCTCAGGGGTTCCCAGGACACACTTCTTGACCTGATGTTAAAAATCACCTCAAACCAGGCCATTTTATTCTCTTGATTCCATAAAATGGTCTTGGAAGTGATGGTTTGGGATACTACAAACAGATTTGCCACTTTACTCTCTAATTTTTACAACTGTTGGGGAAAGCACCCCTGATTGGCTTCTGGGTTGCCTCTTTCATTCATTTATTCACTGATGCATTCATTCACTCACGAGCCCCCACTGTACTCTGATTTCTGTGAAAGGCTACTGAAAAAAATAAAAGGCCTGTGCTCTGGCCCACCACAGTCCAGGTGGCCAGTCCATATGCTTCTGAAGCAAAAAAAGAACACACGACATTTTCTAGGAAAGCAATAATGACCAAGGTGGGTGGAGGCTTTTCCCTTGGCCTTAACAATCTCGCTCCTTTACCTTGCTCTGATGGGCTGGGATCCTAGTCTGGGGCCCAGGGCACTGCCGTTTCCAGGAGAGTTCTTTCTGGCTAATGCTGGGGATATAGAAGTTGTTCTTTGAGGCACCTGAAAGAAAAGCAGAAATCAGAAATATTTTCCATAAAATAGCTTCCATGAACTACTGCCTGAAAAGCAGCCCACTTCTTCTGGAAGATTTGCCAGGAGTTACAGCAATTCTCATAGCACTTCTTCTGGAGAAACATGGAAAGAGATATCTTTAATGTCTCAAGACTAACTCCCTAAATAAAATCAAATAAAAGCCATTGAGGCATATTCAGCAACCATTAAGGAGGAGGGTCCAGAATTTTCAAAACAAATTTGAGAACAGACCAAGATAATTTATTTCACTCATTGAATTCCTTCTTTTGTGTAAGAGTGGTGGACACCAGATATTTTTTAGGGTACTGTAAACTCACCTGATCACTGGAAATTATATCAGATGACAGCCTTAAATTGAGTTTCATTTTTAGCTCACATCACAACTGATGGACAGATAAGGAAATTATGGAATCTGGTGAGAAACTAGGGTGATTTGGCTAGAACTTGGGAGATAACCCACGCCAGTGAGCTCAGAGAAACCATGGCAATAGGTCTGCATGTTCCCACTTCCTCATCAACTTGCAATGATTAATTCAAAACCAACTCCAAGACACTGTGCTTCAAAAGGTCAGTCTGCAAACATACTACAAAATAGGCTTAATACTGAAATACTGGAAGGGACTTCAGAAAGACTGAGTACCAACTGGACTGTGAGGTAATCTAGGAAAATGTATGTCTCATTAGTTAATCTGGCAAGGGCCTAAGGCAGAATTCAAGTATGCCTTCTCTTATGGAACCTTTTTAGTGAAATCAAATATGGTAAGTGTATTAAAGGAGTCCAACACGAGGGAAAAGTGGAAGAAAAAGTTTATGAAAGTGACCAGGAAATGAAAACACAGACACCCCATCACAGCTAAATGGGTTAAACATTCGTCAGGCGCTTTGGATCTACTTCCTGTTTTTGGAAGCAGGGGGGGTCTCTTTGAAAGTGTTTTTGCATTTTGTACTAGATATTTTTAAAACACGCTTTGTTTTAATATTATCACTGTAGTGAATGATATTAACACTAATATGAATTTTGTTAGTTATTAGGACGTATTTTAAGATAAAGACTTAGAAAGATGTGAAGTAAAACGCTCAAATCAGTGCTCATACCTGCACAAATTAAAAATTACTACGACCGTTTTTCCATTATCATTTTGTAAACATAAGTAGTGGTGGGGAAGAAAGAGTCTAATGAATTATTAAAACCTGAAATCTTTGTATTGATCTAGCTCGTCCCGAGTTACAAACGTGTGTCTGCATGTTTTCAGAGAGTGGACCGATCACCCCCACTCCTGGTTTCCACAGCTCTCATGCCTGTTTGCTCCTCCTCCCACCCTTTTTTCCACATTAAAATTTGTTCCCGAGATAACCTTTTCTGATGGCATCTCTGCTTCCAAAGAGGAGAACATGGTCAAAAAGCTATCATCAGCTCCTTTCATTTTCAAAATAATGTAAATCCTATTATAATATCCTTTTGAGAGGAAGATGAGGAACAATATTTGAAACCAGGTGGTGTTATCTGTTTTTATCACTTTGTTTATTTTTTTTTCTGGAATTAACAATGGCACTGATCACTGGAAACTGTGGAATATCCCATGGGTCATTGCTCTTATGCTGACTTCAGGAGAAAGGAGAATCCTGAATCAGGAAGAATCTGATGCAAAAAATTTCTCCACTATTTTGAAATAAGTACAAAATTTTGAAGGCAAAAACAAAACAAAAGAAACCAAACTCAGGACGGTTCTGTCCAGTGGGGGATAACTGGGCATTTTACCCTACAGTTTTATCCTCGGAAATGAATTAAAGTTGAAATTAAATTATGACTTGGCTTAGAAAAAGCTTTCCTTAAATGGGGCGGATTTAAATATCCTGGGAGTTGCTCTGGCTGGTGTGGCTCAGTGGATTGAACTCTGGCCTGTGAACTGAAAGTTCGCCGGTTTGATTTCCAGTTGGGGCACATGCCTGGGTTGCAGGCTAGGTCCTCAGTTGGGAGCATGTGAGAGGCAACCAATCGATACATTGATGTTCCTTCCCCTCTCTTTCTCCCTCCCTTCCCCTCTCTCTAAAAGTAGGTAAATAAAATCTTTTAAAAAATATTCTGGGAGCAATATTATTTCCTGATCACCTGAAATCTGTTTTCACTTTATATTGCTAAAGATAGGAATCACTAAATGTTCCATTTTTTATCTGGAAGTTTTTAATCTTCCAGATAAAGGTGTCTAGATGTGTAATAGATTCAGTTAGCAATAAAAGTATCCATTATTCTTTTTCTTAAAATGGATAGTGAAAAAATACTTTGGAATATTTAAGACCGAGAGTCCTAATTCTGGATATAGGCTCTATGTTTCCACCTCATCCAATCAACCCGAGCCTCTGTTTCTTTGGGGGAAACTGAGGTCAGAAATGACAAGCGACTATCCAAATCAGAGCTTGGCAGTCAGGAGGGCCCCAAACAGACATGACAAGGGACAGAACTCTGGCATGATGTCCCTTATTATGAAAGGTCTGTAACAGGGATAATAATAATAATGATCATCATCAACAATGGTGATGACGGTGCTGACAATAAGAACACCCCGGCAAGGTCACCTTTGGTGGAATGTCTTCTTCCTGTCGTAACCAAGAGCTTCTGTCAAACTTCTCAATGCGAGTGGGGAGAGGAGGGTTTTCCGAGGTGGGGTCCGAGTTCTGGCGCGGCATCTCGACGCGGTGAGAGGTCACGTTCAGAGCCTCCTGAAACCCGGACAGGCCCTTGGTGGGCTGCTCGTGTACTGACTGGGAGGCAGTCAGGGCAGGTCCCTGGGATTTTACAGCTACCAGATGTGGGATCTGAGCAAAAAAACCAATGTCAGAGCAGGATTATTAGAAGAAAAATCAGACAAGCTAGTACCTCCCTCGGTAGAAGAGAAAATAAACTTTTAGGGCACTGGAACTGGAGTACATGAGGCCCATCAGAGTTGTCTACAGCGTACCTTTAATAGTGCTTCAAAATGTTGCATGTAGAGCTAAGTGTAGGGTTTAGGGCCAAAAGTTAAATAATTTACTTGCTAAGAAGTCAGTGAAATAAATGTGATAATAGTAATATTAACAACTTTTAGTGAGCGTTTATTGACCAGCAATACATTTATAAGTACTTCTCTTCTAATTAGAAATGTCACTCTTTAAAATCTTTGACTTCGACTTAGAGTGCTATTGCACTGTAAAACAAGAATTGCTGTAGATATCTTACTTCTTATGAACTCACTGATCCACCATGAGGTCGACACAATTACTTCCCCATTTTACACATGAGATTGTGAGGTGCAGGGAGGTTAAGTAACACCCTACACCTCACAGCTAATATGAGCCCAAACCTGGACTGGAACCCACACATGCCTGCAGGGTACATCTAACTGCTCGGCATTCCTGCGTGATCAACAGGATCTTACCATTTATAATATATTATCTCTTAACTCTAGGATATTTTTTTAGAGTTGTAAGTCTCACAGTTTGGCACATGGTGATATTTTTCATGCAGAAAAGATATGCAGTCTTTCAGTGGAAATCTGGCTCTTTAAGACAAATTATTCAAATCTAGGTTTCAGCATTGGCCAGGTAGCTCAGCTGGTTGCAAGCATTGTCCCACACACCAAAGGATGTGGGCTGGATTCCTGGTCAGGGCACACACCTAGGTTGTGGGTTTGATCCCCAGTCGGGGCATGTACAGGAGAAAAGCCATGGATATTTCTCTGTCTCCCCAGAGATCAATAATTGTGCCCTTGGGTGAGGATTAAAAAAAAACTTAGATTTCAGAGAGCCCTTCACCTTTAGAATGGCTCACACTTCACTGTTAATGCTACGTAAGTCTGTCTCCTGCGCCATCGTAAGGTGAGGTCCCTGAAGAAAGGAGCCATATCTACACTGTATCCCCAAATCCAGGATTCTACCTGGCATTTGGTGGCGTTCAATAAATGGGGGAAACACCTAGACTGCTTTTTAAATTCAATTGTTAACTGAACATTCATTTAATATCTGCTCTAGACAAGGCACTTATCAGACCAGACCCTCTTAGGTCTGAAACCCTAGCGCCTAGACTGGTGGGCGGCATTTTCCCAGCCTCTCTCCATAAGCCTGGCTCTGTTCCTCTTGCTTGTGAGATCTTGAATCTGAAATCTAAAATGTTATTATCTATAGCTCAGAGAAAATCCTCAAAGTCTAGTTCCACTGAATGTCATGCTTTGACCAGAATTAAACTGTAACCAAGTTTATATTACTGTTAAATGTCACTAAATATATTAAATAATATAAAAACAAAATATATTTTAAAAATATATAGCACAAAACCTAAACTACTTAAGAGAAAACAAACACCCCACAATCAAAACCTCTGAAAACTGCTGTTCCAATTTGCTATTACGGGATACCTATATTTTCATTTCCTTGTCACTTCCATAAAGTTTCATAAATTTTTCCTCCCCTCTCCTCTTTTCCAGAGGAAAAGTGCCCCAAAAGGTCAAAGTCAGGAGTTTTAAAAGAGGAAGTTTGTGTGCTGAAAGAGAAGTCCACACAAAAATGCATCCTATGGAAGGCTGGGCATGGAAAAATTCTATGCAACTAAAACAACCAGGGGCAAGCGAGATATGGTCAGCTGGCTGGGACCTCCTATGCTAAAGGGAGACTTAAAATCAGAAATCCTTGCTTCCGCACTAGTTTTGTGAACTCCAGATTGAATAGCATTACATGTTTCAAAGGTGACCTCAAAGTACGTTATGCAAGTGTTCATTCGGGTAGATGCCTAGAAGAGACTGAAGACACCCGGATGAAAGTAGCTGCATTACCTTCATTTTTCATGAAATGGTGTGCTTTATTTCACGTCATAGTTCATGTTTTACAATATATAATTTTAAAAGTCCTCTAAAACTTTCAGAAAATTCCTCTTTTTCTAAAAGTGGGGTAACCTTTTTTTCTTTTCCAAACAGTTCACAACGGTGGTTCTCAAGCTCCACAGTGCACTAGAGTCACCTGGAGGCCTGTCCAACCACGGGCGGCCACGCCCCCTCCAGGAGTTGCTGCTCAGCAGGTCTGAGGTGGACCCGAGACCTGGCATTTTTACCAAGTTGCTTGTAAAATGCAGCGTGATGCTGAGGCTCCCGGTCCAGTGACCGACCACTTTTAAAAGACACAATTTACCCAAGCCCATTTAATTTATCCAGTTTCAGGATCACACCAAAATCCCAAGGAACACAAGATAATAGTTTATCAAAGGCATATATGAATTTTATTTTGGTACTTAAAACTAAAAGGATGTTTATGCTCACTTCACGGAAACATTTATGGTTCTCCAGAGAGGCTGATTTACCAAGAAGTAACTTGGTGGTTGGCTCAGAGGATGGTGCTTTTTTTCTTTTTCACTCCTTCCTCTATCCTTCACATTTAGTGGGCCCTCATCTGTCACTATAGATTCTATATTAGAGGTCAACATTAACTGGTTCTCCACCTGAGCCCACGTTACAGTGCCCTGGGCTGTTAGCAGGTTCACCTGTCTCCCAGTAGAAATGCCGGATGGAACAAAGGGGAGGATGTACCTGTGGGTCAACGGGTCTGAGCATAGGCGGGGTCCGAGCGGGCTGGACCCCACTGATACTGAAGGACTCCGACCTGGGGGGCAGGTTGGGGTCAGATATCCTGTTGGCAACCTTGTGAGGCATGGCAGGCGAACTCTGCCGGTTGAGCCTGGACCGTTCTTCTACCTAGAAACAAACACAGAGAGAGGAGCTTCAGTGGACAGATGGCTGGAAACTGTGAGAATTTTCCGTAGTCACTTGCATGGCCATTTTTCTGTCCCTCTGATCAATTTTTTAAGGAGCCAAACTCTCCACATCTGCTCTGCCTCAAGAATTTGAGAAAAAGCTCTTTCTGTTAGAGTAAACACTAGCATGAAAAACACACAGGACACTTAAGCCATTCTTTTCCCTTACCCTTGATCTCATGCAGTTTTAGTCAGGGAGAATTTGGGACCTGCTTAGCTTAAGAGTTCATCCGACATTGACTGGGATATTATCTTGGGTCAGGGAGGGAGACAAAGGGAACTATGGCAGGCAGGCATTAAGATCACTTGGGAAAACCAAACACTGCTTGGAGTCGACTCATGGGACAGAGAGGGAAGAACAACAGAGGGCTGACAAGGGAATCAAGCTGAGCACACTAACCCTCCATTTCTTCCCACTCCCTACTGCTAGGCAGGCGGTTGTCCCAGGTGGCTCACTTAATGAGCATGACCTGCCTTAACGAGAGTATCATTTGGACTACCTTCCAGACTACCTTCCTTTAAGGCCCTTTCTTCTCGGTTGTCTCTCCCTGTGCCCTAAAATACATTACCCCTCCTCGTTCTCTCCACTTCCAGCTTGGACTCCTCTGTTTCCCTCTCGCCTCCCTCCTCCCTGTCTCTCCGCACATGGCCTTCATCCTTGCTTCTCCTCCTCTTCTCCCCCTGACCACCACCTCTCATCTCTGGCTGTGTCCTTGTCATTCTCGTTCTTGTAGAATCTCTCTCGGCCCCAAGCAGATAACTGATCATGTGCCTCACATGAAGGGCTCACAGAACCAGGAATGTCCATCTTACAGGTCGAAGTTACCTGTTGTACTTATTTGCAGCAGACACAGACTGTCACAGAGAACAATTTCAAGGGAAAATTTAGATAAACAAGAGGCACACTGCAAGACATAATTTAAGATCCTCAACAACTGCAACAGGTCTAGAACTTTTCTTCCAGGTCCATTTTGTCTTCTCATATGTTTCTTTTCTTTTTTTTTTTTTTAGTAAAAGAAAAGAGCCAGATTTAATACATAGATATGTATGGGAACCCTGCATGCATGAGAGTCAGAGACCACACATGTGCCAGGGGTTCAGAGGTAAAAAGGGGGGTTGAGGTGTATAGAACATCCTGTGCTAGGGATGAGGTGATGCACCTTGGGGGCTTCAAAGGGTCATTGCAGGATGATAAGAATAATCATTTTGTAAATAGAAGTTTGTTGTGCCCTACAGGTAGGTTGACAGAGGTTACCTGTGATAATCTCTTATTATGGTCAAGGACTCTGATTCAAGTCCTTCTAGGTAGTTAAGGGGAAGGGCAGACGTTTCACTTGAGCCTAAAGCTAAAATTGCCTTTAGCTCAAAGTGATCCACGTACCACTGAGACACGTCTTGGGCAGCTTCCTCTGAACCCCCACACTCCCTCCTTGAACTTCCCCGAAAGTTTCACATTCCAGACACTTCTCCTTTCTGTCTTCAGGGTCACCTTGGCAGCTGCGCTTTTCAAACGCACCGGGGAACTCCCTCCTGCCCACGGGCTGCCTCAGTACTACAAAACCCTGCCACAGAACCCAGCGCAGGTCCTCAAGACGTACTTCTATGCAGCAGCTAAAAGTTTTGATTCATTTTGCTGCCTGATTTGAAATAAATTTTTAAAAAGTTATTTTTTCTCATCCTCCATAACCCATTTTGAATCTTTCTCGCGGCAGACTCAGTCTCATATATAGAATGTCTGTTTTTAAACTTTCATATGCAAACTTTCTAACATAGGAGATGCTAGAGAACAGAAAACCGCCCGCCTGCCTCTGCTTCATGGCAGTTTTAAGACCCTTCCCCCCACTGTGGCTGTGCATGGTACATACAATTTGCATCTTGTTGACTTTGGTTTTGAAATTCCATGTCCCAGAAGCTTAGCACACACCAAACAAGATTAGCTGGAAAAAGCCGGGAATAGAAACTGGAACATATATATTTTGTGTATGTGTGTGTGCAAAGTGTTCTGACAGCAATAATTATTTGGCTATAAAACACAGCCAGCTTTGAGATAAGGCCACCGAAAGGATAAAGTCTGCAAAGATAGCGATAGGTAAACTGAGACCAAGGCATGGAATGTGCTGTTTTCCCAAATCCTAGACTCTTTGAAAAGAAGGTGACTATTTCCAGATCACTGGAATAATTCAAATATTATTTCCAGGGAAGATAATTATTAGATAAATCACATGTCCGAGCACCCCTGACTGTATGAACTCCCACCATCCAAACCACAGCTGTCTGAACCCAGGAATCCAGGAGGTTGAGACACACTTTCAGATAAATACCAGGCTGTCCAGCCTATAACCACTTGTTACCTGGCATTAGAGAACCAAATATATTCAGAGGGTAAAGAATACTTATCATTATTAGTTTTTAACTGTAAAGTATCCTCAGACAGTTTTAAGCACATGTTTAGGGAAAGTACATTAAAAACAGCAGTCAAAAAGTCTGCCCCCAAAGATTCCATCTTGGGCAAAGAGACCATTCCTGAGACAAAGGATTCTTTTGGCAACTGCCAGCTACGAGCTCTAGCAAAGAAACCATCTTTGCCTCTAACAGAACCACAAGCCACACAGGCCCTGAAGCTGTCGTTGGAAGTGAACAGCGCAGAGATTGGGGTGCTGATTTTCGTAGGTAGTTAATGGGTGTGGTTAGTCATGTGTAGATGTTACTAATATGCTTCTAGTAATATTTCCTATGCCTTGTATTAATTAGTTTACATACTAAAATCATACCATTAGTGCTTTAGTCTGTACCATTCTAAAGTATATGCTATACATAATCTCCTGTTACACTTTGAAAATTATGCCAAAAAGGGTCCAGTGTGATAAAATTTCCTGAGTTGGAGTCTGTTCAAATAAATTGGACAGTCGATGAGAAGGGTGTAAGAGGGGGCACCTGGCTCCCCACTCTGCTTGAAGAAAACCTTGCCCAACGTGTTGAGGAAGGTAATGCTGCCCATTGCTTTTGCACCAGAGAGACAATATAAATATTAGAGGAACAATATTAAATCAAACATCCTAATAACAATTTCCAATGGAGGAGAAGCTGATCAGTGTATCTAGGAGCCAGCCGGCCATTCTGATTATTTTGACATTGGATCAAGATCCATCTCCTGATTCATTGCATCTTATGTCCACTAATAGAGTGAAAAATAGGTATGTGAGGCAAGGGGACGAAGTGTCTCCTACACCCCACCCAGGGATAAAGATGTATGTGATTGAAAACTGGGGTGTAACAAGGATATGTTTCAATCTGCCTTGTGCAATACTCCAAAAATTCTATTAGCTAGGCTTCCGCTCCAATCTCCTGTTGCCAAGAAGATGTAAAATACCAGAAGTACCACCAAAAAAGAGTGTTATAGTAATATTAGACAGAATATCAAGGTGCCAGGACACAAACAAAAGAAATCTATTACAAAGGGTTTCATAGTTGAAGGGATTATCAATGAATATACAGAATAAGATTAGGAGAGACATTGATTACACTATGAAAGCAATTTTGTTTTCTTATTAAAAGGATCATTTTGACCCCAATACTAAAGTAACTTTGGAGAGGTTTGGATCACCTCTGCAGAAACGCTATACTATTTATTATAGCATTACAGGGAGAAAGAAAATATAACTGTGGTCTCAGAGATAAAATTCTGCTCCAGGCAGAGCTACCTTGCCCACTGGGCATTATAAGAGTGATATCTAAGCCCTCTGAGATGTATAAAAGCTACACAAATACAGAAGACCTGAAAATAAGCTTGTTAATTACACAATTTCAAAAAATCTTTCTAAAGAAATAAAGATATATTTAAACATATAAAAAAGGAAACACATTCAAGTCAATTGTTAAATTGCTTTGTATACTTGAAAACAATTTACAGCTTATAATGTCTCACTTAGCAATAATGAATATTTGCTAAGAGAATTTCCAAACAAAATTATGGAAGTTAATTTAAAAGATGTTGACACCAAAATATACTTCTTATGTCTTACGGATGCATTTTAATACTTTTTTAATGATGTAGAGCCTGTGGGGGCTATGAAGGTCTTAGAAAGCCTTACTAAAGAGCTACCATATGAGGGGGGAGATTGGAAAAATTAGACACAGTCTTATGGGAATTCCTTTTTATTCCAACTGAACAAACAGTTCGAATTTTTGTCTTTACCTGCAATGTTGGAGAAACAGAGAGAAGTCAACAAATAACTTTTAAGTGCTCATTACAGACTTTGACCCTGCATTCGATGGCCACATGAAGAGTTGAGTCATCTTGCCCTTTGGCAAAACCACGTGGGCAGGTGCTTGCTGAGTAAGGTTGGTGATATCTCTTCTGTGTGGCACCCTTGATGGCAGGGAAAACTCATTCATTTGAAGCACTTAAAGTGCAGTCTTGTCGGAAGATAAAGGCCTAATCTACTTTTCTGAGAAATCCTTTCCAATGATTCATAAAAAATTATAGATCCTCATAAAAATGAAGCTGATAACTTAATAATGAGGCAAATCTTAATAAAAGAATAATGAGGCAAATCTTAAGCTGAGGAAATGAAGATGTGTGCATCTACACCTGGGGGAGGGCAGGTAGAGGATATGAAAGATGCATGTACACGGCTCACGTGAAAACCAAACCAGATGCAACACAGGCAACATGCATGTTCCTTGTGGGTGACAATGGCTTTGGGAATAACATGTAAATATTTTTAACATTATATTTCATGTGCATATGTATAGTGCCTACAGTTTCAATGGCACATTCAAACGTATGACCGCCCGGGACCCTCCCAAACTCAAGGAGAGAAGTGCAGGCGGGGAACTTCCCTGGGAGGAATCTGCGAGACCTGCCCCAGGTCACACAGGAGGGAAGTAGAATGTGAACTCAAACTTCTTTTTTTTACTTATTTATCTATTGAGTTTTAT